TCAGTTCCTTTTTCAAAATATTTAATTCTTTTTTACTTTTAATGTTGGGACAGAAGGGATCGACCTGATTAGCTTTGACGAGTGCTTCAGCATCTGTGATTTAATTGTTAGTATTTAGAGGTATTTATTTTGGTTTAAATAAAACACGGCAGAGAATCATGGTAACGTAAATAGTTTCCTGATCTTAAGTCTGTTCATTCGTTTATTAGACGAAACGCTGTTTGAATTAACTCGAGGGGAGCAAGTCGCTAAGGTGTGAATTTTTTCCTGGAATGCAGTGAATAAACTGACATTCCTTTCCGCCTCGGCCCCTTTTCCTATACCTTAACTTTCCACAGAATTATGACGAAAGCCCGCCCAGACAGGCGCCAGTTTTATTATCTTGGCAAAAAGTTTTCACGAAATCTTTTCGAGGGGAAATCGCCCAAACTAATCGGGTTTTCGATCGCTAGCAGAAATCTCGAAACTAAAAAAAATATACACATACACATTACAAACTAGCTTTTCAGTTTCAAAACTAAAGTCATAGGTTTGCATAATTTGGACAAAAGACTCTCGGATCGGGAAACTATAACGTTTAACGTTCTTTAATTCGAGAATGGTAATAAGATTATACAAGCTGTCTAGCTGTCTGATTTAGTTTTAAACCCTAGGTGTTTCCCATTAAAGTGCAGGGCCGATTATTTGCCCTCCATAAAGTAGTCGTAAACAAAAGGCCGAAGCAAAACAAATGAGTGAAAAATGGGGAGCCGGGAAAAAAGAGAAGTCGAATAATATACAAACGCAGTCGAAAACCTCTCGTGTCCCCGTTTCCCGATTCCCCACAACTGCCATTCTTTTTATTTTTGCTGACTTTTCGCGCTTTTTTACGAAGCATGTTTACGTTGTTTTCTGCCGTTCTACTGTGGTGAGAAATGTTTACCAAAAACATTGAAACTTTAAATCGTGAACTTGACTTTGGTGGAATTTGTGTTGTAGCCGGTCTAAAGATAAAAATTACAGCAAACAGCTGCGAACGCATCAGCAGTAGTCAATCGTTGCAAATTTGCTCGAAAGAACGGGCTTTCGAGATTGGCCAAGCTGCTATGCCAGCTTCAGGCTATACATAAGTACGTACATGTGAACATATATACCTATATATAAATTAAATACTCTAAACAAGCTCTAATTTAATAGTGAAAAGGAATGTTCAATTACGATCTGTGATTTCTGTATTTCCAAAAAAAACCTTACATGTAAATTTCTATGAATCATCGAAACTTTGACTTAAACAAGAAAAACCAACAATAGCAGGAAATTGTGGCCAAAGATTTTTTTGTGAGACACCAGAGTGTGTTCATATATTATCTTGAGATACATACATAGGAATGCATGTATGTATGTATCTGAGTATACCACTGAAGTTTCACGATGTTCGGAGGCGACATTTCTCTGCTAGCCTGATATGTACTATACGCATGTGTACACATACATATGTATATCCATAGAGCAATGCCGTACTTACAAGTTCACTTGAATTTGCATGCGTGCAAAAAGAACTGCTCGTGCAAGTGCGAAGCAGGTGTGATTATTGGGTATTTGCAACCAGACGCTTTCAGCTTATCGCCGAAACTGTTAACTGCAAACGGCCTCGGGCCGTCAAGGTGTTAAGATGCCAAATGTTAAGGCGCAGGGCGACTGAACAGCCTGCGAGGAAAGTAGGCACCAAGCCGAAGCTCAATAAAAGCCACGAGCAAGGCTGGTTAACAGACCGAGCTCTTACCGAGCTCTTATCAACCGAACTTCTTACACACATACATATACATACTCTATGTCTATTATTGTTATCATTATTTTAAGCTCGACTTGAGGGCCAAGGGTACGACTTATGAGTTTGCTAATACTGAACGTCAGCCGCAGGCTCTATGACGACCGAAAACGACACGTTTAAAGGAGTTTTTTCACTAGAAATGTTCCTTTTTTCGAGTTGATCTAATTGAATGAATCAAAAGCCCGGGAAAAAGGTGGGAAATAATAAAAAAAATATATAATCACATTGCATTGCCGGCTTATAATTAAGACAATTTTATAACAACGCATCGATGTTTTTGCGGCTGTAAGTATGTAAATATTCGCCAAATCAAAAAGGCGTGCCAGTTACGGCCAATCAAACTCAATCATCACCGCTTTCCGTTTTAAGCAAACAAAGGTCTTTTATAATTTCATTATATTATAATAAAATATGAGCCTTATAAAGTTACACACAGATAACAAGACAGATATAAAAAAATGTTCTGTTCCAAACATCAAATTTGAAAATACTAAGGGATTATTTTTGCATGGATTCCTTCTATGTTTATATAAATATTTATGTTTACGTGTTTTGTTGTTGAAAGCCCAGGGTTTTCCTTGCGTGCCAAATTGTGTAAAGCTTTCGCTTTTGCCGGTATAGCTTTTTGGATCTTTGCCGGCAAAATTTGTCTGCCTCTCCACAGACTTGAGTAATTTTATTTGAGTGTTTTTATTGTCTTTGTATTTTGTACTTTGAGTTGTGTTTTTATCTTTTAGCAACATGTTGCTGCAACAATTGTAGTTATTTCAAGCTCCCAACAAAACTAAACAAATTTCAAACAATAAATAAAGTTAACAAGTTTTGACATTGTTTTAAATCGTTTGTCGTTCCTGAAAATTCACTAAAAGGTAATAACAAATATCACAAGGAAGTCATCTTAAATACTGTAGAAATATTTCGTTTCTACAAAAACTAAATTTTTGTTTATGCAATCATTAATACATGAATACATACATATTTAGATTAGGCAGGACCTTTTTTTCTTTAACTTATAATTAGAAGGTAATTTTTAATCTTTAAGTTTTATAAAAGAAAAGCAGTTTATTCTATTGGCTGTAAAAGGGCCTCCGACCTTCTGCATACAATTGACATTCGGAGCACCCAAACCCCCTTGAATGATTTCAATGCTCAGGAATGGAAGTTAAAGTCAGCTCTCGTCCTCTGCTGTTTGCTTGTGGCACCTCGTGCCACCTCACGAGGCACACTGAGGAATCAGTTTCTGTGAATTGTGATATTTTTCTAACGAAATCGTCGTACTGCCAAGAGCCGTGAAGTGTCGGGTAGATAAATGCATAGTTGGGGAGTTGTACAGAGCAACGTAAACTTTATATAAAATGAAAAGTTTCCAAACGTTTTCTTGTGAAGTGAAAAAAATAAATTTTCGTCGCGACCAAAACTCACAAAAATTTGGATCGATTTTTAAGGGCATAACTTAAATGTCATATGTAGTAGATCGGATAAACAGTAAGTGGAATGAAAGTTCCAAATTAGAGAAATAACTTTCTTTCCCTTTAATATCATTGTTTCTAACAGAGTCGTTTTACAAGTAAAAGATTACAAACTATTTTTGAATATTAAATTATAATAAAATGCTTTCGTTGTATTAAGTCCGATCGGTGTTGAAATGTTTGAAAATGGAAAAATTAATTTTTGAAACAACAACCAGAAATCGGAGTCGAAGAAATTCATTGAATATTTGGGGGTCCATTCAAAGGAAATCTCTAGGAAAATTATTTAAATTTAGAGAACTCAAGAAATTTTTAACGAATTTCTACAGTCTCCGAAGTTACATGCCGTGGGCCACACTCGGGCGCTGTCAATCAAGTATCTTTATACCCTTGCAGAGCGTATTATAATTTCAGTCAGAACTTGCAATGCAGTGAACGAGACACCTCCGACCCCATAAAGTATATATATTCTTGATCAGCATCACGATCTGAATCGAAATACGTATGTCTGCTTCTATGTAAACTATTCTCTCAGTTTTAAAGCTATCTTGACGAAACTTATAAAAATTTGGGTAGTTATTGCACGCAGTATATATTATAAGTTGGAACGACCATTATTTTCAAGCCGTTATGCATTTTGCTCAACATTTGTGATGACTGCAAGGGTATATAAGCTTCGGCTCGCCGAAGCTAGCTTCCTTTCTTGTTTTTCTTTCCTTTTTATTTTTTCACTGTTGCGGACATATTTCTTTCGAATGAAAATCGCTGGGACTGAACCGGAAAGCGTTTGTTAATAGGAACAACTTCAAAAGCCGGACGGGGTTGTAAAACATTTTCGGTCGTTGTCTTAGCAACGCATTACTTATGCCATAAGTGATCCGACGACAACGACGCATCAGATAAATCTTGTCTGATAATAATTTAGAAACATGGAAAGGAGTTTTGAATGAGCGGGGCAATAAAAAAGAGTCTAAAAACAAGAAAGGAAGCTAGCTTCGGCAAGCCGAAGCTTATATACCCTTGCAGTTACTAAATACCTATGACGAACAAAATACATAAAAGCTAAAGATCATCGAAGCTATAACGATTTTTCTATTAATTTTCCATATTGTTCATAGGAGCAGCTATACGATATAGTCGTCTGATTTTCATGAAATTTAATTAAATTATTTATTATGGGCCAAAACATAAGAAAAATTCAAATGATGCTGTTGGTTAAAGAATTTAAAAAATGTGAAATGTTAATTAAAATTCATATAATGTTAATATAATGTTAATTTAATGTTAATGTAATATAATGTAAATGTAATGTTAACTTAATGTTAATTAAATTAATATGGCCACGTCATCGACATCAATAATTTTAAATTTTTAACGTTTTCTTGCACCTATAATTCCCAACTCGTTCTGGCTGATTCGTAGTGGGATACCCCTTGATTTTGGCCAATTTCTCAAGTTCTCCGGGATGACCGGCAGTTTCTCTAAGAAACTCTCTCAGGTCTCTAGAAGTGTGTGTGTGTGCGTGTGAGTTGGCCGACTCCTCCTACTGGAGTCCACTCCCGGATGCAGTGCATCATGGGTCGACTCCTCCTACTGGAGTCCACATCCGGATGCAGTGCATCATGGGTTGACTTCTCCTACTGGAGTCCACTCCCGGATGCAGTGCATCATGGGTTGACTCCTCCTACTGAAGTCCACTCCCGGATGCAGTGCATCATGGGTCGACTCCTCCTACTGGAGTCCACTCCCGGATGCAGTGCATCAAGGGTCGAATCCTCCTACTGGATTCCACTCCCGGATGCAGTGCATCAAAACCCGAAGAGGTGGTTAGCAGATTTTTTTTTTTAAGCAAGTGATGACGTGGTCTTTTGTAAATGTAATGCAATTATTTTATAAAATATTATTTTATTTTATTTCAGGTTTTTGGTTGTGTGTTTGGCTGCTTGTAGAAAATAATTGGTGGCACCATCTTGTAACTTGTAACATACTTGTAACTTGGAGTTGGATATTAGGATGTAGTGCACCAAGTTTTTTTTCGCAGTGAGTACATACATCAATTAGACAGTACATAATTAAGTTATTGATTTTAAGATCAATCAAGAGCAAAAGATAAAGATCTGAAATTATTCAAGAACAATAAGAAAGAAATTCAAAAGGTGATTTTGTTCAAATAATGAACTTGAAGTACTCCTAAATCAAACACAATTAATTATCTTAAACAACTAGGGTCATCTTATAATAATATATATAGTAAGAATAGTTGTAAGAATGCGGTTACCGGAGATATATGCTGATACCACCAAAATGGACTGGAGAACAGGCTGCAAGGATTAATGGAGGGATCTTCTATTGAACTTCACTCCAGGATGCAGTGCATCAACTGATTGGGGTATGTATTTTTTGGAGTAATTGATTTGTATTGAATAATTTAAATAATATTTTTAAATCCTTCTTTTCATTACAGGTGATGACTTTACCTTCCTTCTTGGAGTGAACTTCAAGATGCAGTGAATCAATAACCCAAGGAGGTAAATATCTTTTTTACTAACAAATTGATTCTAACTACTATTATTTAACAAATTATTTATTATATATTTTTTCTATTAAATTTCAGGGTGAAGTGTTAATGGTGCGGATTAAGTGGTTGCAGTTATTTTATTACTTCAAGAAGACGAAAGATTGCAGTGCACCAAGGCTTTTCGCAGTGAGTACATGAATTTGACAGTAAATAATTAAGTTATTTATTTTAAGATGCCAAATACGATTTAAGGAAGGTTAGCTTTTTTGACAAAGAAATCAAGAGCTAAAGTTAAAGATCTGAAAGTATTCAAGAACATGAAAGAAATTCAAAAAGTAAATTTTATCAAATACTGAACTTGAAGTACATAAAAATCAAACACAATCAATAATTTCAAACAAGAAGGGCCATATTATATTGAAATACTTAGTAAGAATAGTTGTAAGAATGCGGACATATATGGAATGCTGATACAACCTAAATGGACTGGAGAACAGGCTGCAAGATCAAGGATTAATGGCGAGATCTTCTATTGAACTTCACTCCAGGATGCAGTGCATCAACTCATTGGGGTATGTATTTCTTAAATAATTAGTTTGTATTAAATATTTAAACTAAAATTTTGGAATCCTTCTTTTCATTTTTAAACAATTAATTTTTATTAAATAATTGAACTAATATTTTGGAATCCTTCTTTTTATTACAGGTGATGACTATACCTTCCTTCTTGAAGTGAACTTCAAGATGCACTGAACCAATAACCCAAGAAGGTAAATATCTTTTTTACTAACAAATTGATTCTAACTATTATTATTTAACAAATTATTTATTATATTTTTTTTATTTAATTTCAGGGTGAACTGTTAATGTTGCGGGTAAAGTGGTGGCAGTGATTATCTTATTGAACTCCACTCCAGGATGCAGTGCATCAACTCATTGGGGTATGTATTTTTTATAGAAATTGAATTGCATTGAATAATTTAACTAATATTTTTAAATCCTTCTTCTCATTACAGGTGATGACTATACCTTCCTACTTGGAGTGAACTTCAAGATGCAGTGAATCAACAACCAAAAGAGGTAAATACCTTATTATATCCTTGCAGAGCAAAGGGTATGTCAGGGCTGACTGAAATTATAATACCCTTTGCTCTGCAAGGGTATAACACTGTGATTTCAATGTAACATAAATGATTCAGAAATGCCAAAAACACACTGCGAAAATTATTGAAGTAATTGATTAAACTTTGCGTTACTTAACAACCCGGTTGACCCGTGATTAAAAAAAGAGAAAATATAGCCCCCAGTCGTACAAATATTTGGCTGCTTAAAAATAAAACAGCATTTTAAAACTCGCCGATAGGTGTTTCTTTGAGATGTCGTCGCTGAGAAATATATTGTTCCATGCAAGTGTAAAAATAAACTTTGGATTATGTTAGCATTCTCGAGCAGCGGAATATTTCCGTAGATCGTACCCATAATGGAAACCGGAACATCTGAAGATTGAAACCGAAATAGAGAGTCGAATCAAATAAGAAATAGTGTAAGCTGTAAAAACGAGATTGGAAAATATAAAAAAACTTAAAACACTCAAAAAAATTATAGCAAATTTTGAATCCCAAACGTCTGCTAATAGTAATCCTTAAGTGCCTAAGTGCTCTATTGTTATTTATGACAGAAACTTGTTTAACTTTACTTTAGTGTAAGCAGCAAAACATTTTAATGATTTTAATTTGGTGTATTTAACTTAATTATCTTAAAAAGGTCTCTTTTTTTTTTGTTGTTTGCTTTTATGTTAAAAAGTTAAAATTCAGGAGGCGTTGTTTTTTGTTGTGCGTTCGGTTGCCATGCCGCCTGGCATCTCTCATCTCCACTTCTTATCGATCCATCTACCAAATTCCGCCCACGCTTTTCCACCTCCTTGACGGGTCGGCTACGTTCGGTGCTGTTTGGCTGTTCGCCTTAAAATATTTCCCACTAATCCTACACGAAAAATTATTTCGGTGTTAATTGCTAGCGCCCCCAACTCATAGCTATGTGACTCGATACAATACACTAAAGTTTCTCCTTTGGAAAAGCATATCGATCTCGATTTTATACCGGCATGGTATTGTTTGGACTCTGTTTGACTTTTGGCCCACTGGCGTTAATTTTCCTGCCAGCTCTTTTGCATAGTCAACACAAAGGTCTAGGTCTCTCTACAAGTATTTCTGCATCTTTATCTCGACTCATGTTAGTGTGTCTCATATATGATTTGCTTTCCTAACGTATCGTGCCCGGGTAATTTTCATGCAGTCATTTCTCATTCATTAAAACGTCGCATGGCGTCCGTAGGAGAAAGAAAGACGAATAGAAATGAGTGAGAAACAGAAGAAGATTGACGAGAAGAACCCAAAGACGCAGACGGGGGACGGAAGACGCGGTATGGAGTTTGGTCATGGCATTAACCCGTAGAACTCCTTTCACTTTACATTCTAATTCCAATAGTTCTAGCTCTCGCATACCAAGACCATGTTTCCTTGGCAAGGGGCAGGCGCGGGAGGCCGGCGAAACCTGAATGCCCAATGAATGCTAATGCTAATACGTCGTTCCCGGCCAATTTCCCCTCGAGCGGCTTTTAAAACATATACATATGTGTGCAGCGCACACGGTGCAAAAAATATCACCAAAATCAATTGAACTAAAAAAAAGGCAGCCAAACCGAGTGCACAAATAAAATGTTTAATTAAAAGTTTAACCATTTTGCCATATTAATTGAACTGTAATCGGAATATACAATACATATTATACACAATTGTTTATATATAATATTTGTAGGTATAAATTTGGTTTGTTTTTCGGTTGTGATGAATGGTAATTTTACCTTAAACCTTTCTGATTTTTTGCAGGCGATTATTATCGGTTCCTGTTAAGCCCCCTGTACTTCCTGATCTCTAAGACTAGCTTAATGTCACGACGTAAAAACGGAGAAAAGCGAAAGAAAAACAAGCAATGTCGAGCAATTACCAGGGAGAACAAAAAAAAATGTCTTTTACAATCAGCTCTCGGGACAAGTTTTTAATTTTGGTGGTTTCTTCAGATGACCAGAAATTATCACGTATCGACGGGTCGAACCCCACCCCAAAAGCTGAAAACCTATTGGCACTAAGTCATAAAACCAACAATGAACAAGGGACCAGACACGGCCCAAAAACCTTAAATAATTTGTATCTTAGTTATTGTCTTTTTTTTCTTGCTGTCATGCTCATTGAGCACGCTTTTTGCCCAAATCGAGAGGAGGCTGCCATGGCCTGCCTTCACTGTTGAAATTTTGCGTTCCCATAAGTACTGCCGGTTTGTTGTCATTAAGTTTTAAAATATATAAGACCTTATTGTCAACGCTTGGTGTAGGTATTAAGGTTTTGTTTCGGGAAGGCAAGCTCTGGGCGCGGCCATTGGTATTTTAATTGCCTAATTCCCCGGTAAAAATCGAACTGACTTGATCGGCATGCAATATATATGTATCAATTAAAATGATAATAATTAACATTGGTCTCTTAGTTACACATAAAGTACGCAACGGGTTGTTCTCACGTCTTTCGCATACAACTTTTTTGTGTACTTAAAGACGCGAAAAAAATATTATTGGACTTTTAATCTATCATTCTGTAGTATTCACAAAATATTGCTCGTTTTTTTTTTTACTAAGTTTTAAGCAATTTTGTACGATAAAAAACCATAAAACAGCAAAAAAAAATCATTTTGCCTTGTCTCTTGAAAGTGTTGCATTCCAGCGTTTTGAAATTTCTGAAGATGTTTTTTGCACAATCGATTTTTACTTTTTTTTTGCACATTTATATTCGGTAGAACCTGCATAAAAAAGCATATAATAATTATTAAAATAATCAAAATTAGTATGCAAATTTTTTAAAACAAAAAAAATGTGCATCACCAATAAAAAAATAGTTATCTATTAAACACACTTTTAACTTATAGTTTACAATATATAAATAAATAATAAAATATAAGGTTTACCTAGTGATCTTATTTATTTTGTATTTGGGAATTAAAATAAAATAAATAAAATGAAACAAAATGAAACAAAACGATTTTTTGATCATTCGATTTAAAACAACCAAGGCCAGAGGAATTCTTTCCATTCGGACAACCAAATTAAAATTTTCTGAAAACGAAATACCAGGCGAACAGGAACGCCTAGTAGGTGGCTACACTTACTGACGAACCAGCAGTAGTCGAGACTCGAACCATTTCCTTTTTGGTGAGTAACTTGTTAATTCAACATTTTCCCATAAAAAGTGGTTTGAAACTTCGCTAATTTTTGCCACCGCGAGGGCGTGGTTCTCGACTTGGTTAATGTTACGGTTCGAGTCTCCACTACTGCTGGTTCGTCAGTTAGTGTAGCCACCTACTAGGCGTTCCTGTTCGCCTGGTATTTCGTTTTCAGAAAATTTTAATTTGGTTGTCCGAATGGAAAGAATTCCTCTGGCCTTGGTTGTTGAATTTCTGCTCGTCTAGTGTCTAAAATTAAGAAATCGCCTAGATTTCTCAATTTTTAATAAAAACCAAGTAAACCATCCATAATCATTTTATTTCATTTTAATTTTATTATCGCCAATAATTCAGCTCCTTAATAACTAGGAAGTAAGTATAATCATTATAACCTACATTATAATTTGTTTATTTCTTTTGTCATTCGGTTTTGTTTTAATCCCAAAAAATTTACTTTTGTTTTTAGAATTTATTTATTAAACTTACTCTTGCATGCAAATATGTATGTATGGGTGTTGAAATTGGGAGACCACTCGAAATTCTGCACGGACGCTTTTGCGACAATCTGGCGAGGCGCCAAAATTGGAGGGTATTCCAGTCTCCAAGCACGGTTTGGACTTATAAAATCCCCCATGGAACAGCGGAGGTTTCCAGTGAAGCTTCGAAGGGTGCCCACGTTGCCCGCAAAGTTCTTGAAATTACAACTTTAACCGCAGTACTTATAATCCGCGAAAATGTTGTCTGTCCGTACAAGGAGCGATTATGAAAAGAAAATCGAGTCGGCGGGCGACAAACTCGTCGTCTTGGATTTCTACGCTGATTGGTGCGACTCCTGCAAGGAACTCGAGGGCACCGTGAAGGCGCTGGCCAGGAAGTACTCATCCAAGGCAGTGATAATCAAAATCGACGAGGACCGCTTCGTAAATCTGGCGGAACGCTACAAGATCGACTTTATCCCCACCTTCATCTTTCTCAAGAAAAAGCACCGCGTGGCCTCGTACTCCGGTGGCAATAAGATAATGCTCACCAGGATGATGGCCAGATTGGTGAAGTCCTAAGTCATATATTGGAGCAGGCTCCCATTTATGTAATCCATGTGAATGCAACAATTTGCTTAATAATCTTAATATGTGTATGTCTTTGTCTAAGCTAGCAACTCGATAAATAACTAATTTTTTTTGTATGTGGCTGAAGGGGTATTTTTCAGGCTTTTTTGATATTGGTTTTCTAAAAACACCTTTTATAAACCCAATTTATATATTTTTTAATAATATTAATTTTGATGGAAGCGTAGATAATTAGCAAGTTCGCATGAGAAAATTAAATTTAGAAGACAAGTTTACGATTTTTTTTGTAGAGGAAACCTTTAAAATAGGAAAACAGCATTCATTTGATTTTAATGCGAAAGGTATTTTCTTTTATGCCTCTAGGGAGACAGGGGTATGTCGAACAAAATATATAAGGGCTAACATCGAAACTATGACGATTTTTCTATTAATTTGACAGTTGTCAGATTTTGATGAAATTTAATTCGAAATTCAATAGTAGTTAAAAACCCCATCTGAAAGAAATCAAGTCGATCTGATCAAAAGCAACGGCGTAAGAATTTTTTATTCCATTCTCTCGTATTGAAGCAATCTGATATAGTTGGCCGATCCGGCCCGTTCCGACTTATATACTGCGTGCAATAACAACACAACTTTTGGTAAAGTTTCAGCAAGATAGCTTCAAAACTGAGAGACTAGTTTACATAGAAACCGACTGGAGGACAGACGGACAGACGTATTTCGATTCAGATGGTGATGCTGATCAAGAATATGTATATTATACTTTATGGGGTCTGAGGTGTCTCCTTCACTGCGTTGCAAACTTCTGTCTGAAATTATAATAGCCTTTTTCTCTGCAAGGGTATAAAAAGTATGCAGTCTCGCTCTCTCTCTCTGAGCAGGAGACTTTGTTTCTTTTTGTTTTGGTTTTCTGTTTGGCACATAACGATCAGCTAATCGGTGAGTGAGCGATACACTACATTTAGTTTTGAACCAAAAAACATGGATATAAACATCATCCACCTAACGTATTTTAAATTTTAGAACTCTTTTGTCGTCAATGTCAAGTTTGTTGTTCGGGTGCGGAATTGTAGGCGCCTGTGTGAACTTACCGCAATCAATGAAAGACCACCAATGGATGTTCCTGCAGATACTGATGTCGCTAGCCTTGGAGTTCTACCCCGGAAACACGACCCAGACACGACCTCTGACGGCCTCAAGCACGTCCTTTGTGATTCTGCCGAAGGTGGTTGGCGGCTACTCGGTGACTATTGACCAGGTGCCCTTTCAGGTATCCGTGCGCCGTCGATCGATCCACGAGCGTCATTACGGAAAGGGTCACTTGTGCGGAGGGGCTATCATCTCCCAGCGCGTCGTCTGCTCGGCAGCCCACTGCTACGCCATGTGGGTAAAACTCCCGTCACTGGGCGGAATTTGCGATACTGTTTGGGGCTTCTTTCTCCGGGTCCTATCCAACAATAAAATATATACAACTTAGAGCATTAACTTGTGCTACTAAGAGTTGAAGGAATCGTTGAATTAAGAAACATTACGTTGTCAATAATGTGACTTTGTCCAGAGAAATAGCCACATATTTTTTAAGTGTGTCAATTGTGAAATAACGCTAGAAAGCGAGACAAAATCTCAAACCCAACCAATTTAAGCTCCAACCAAATCAGTCAGTAATTGTGCCCAGTGTTCTTGATAATACATAGAATCAAAAGTACTGAAACTCCCGCTCTTAGAAATAGTTCAATACCGCTTCTCTACCGTGATCCTGACCTATATGTAGTGGTGGCGGGTAGTAGTACCATCGATCGGGCGGACCGTTTCACACAGGAATACCTGGTGCAGCGTATCATCGGCCACGAGTGGTACAATAGGAGTACGCTGGAGAACGACATTGCCCTTCTCTTTTTAAACGGCTTCATTCCCTGGAAATCGCAAGCGGTACGGGCGATTCCGCTTTCCATCAAAGCCCCCGAAGAGGGCACCACCTGTCTTATTCACGGCTGGGGCAAGGTCTCCCAGGTAGGTATCTGCATGCTAGAGCTTTTGTTCAGCAAATGATAAAAAGTATTGAAACTCAATTAGAGCGAAGTTTATGTTAGAGAGTGGTGGCGGCAAATCTTTTTTCTTACAATTGCTTTTTAATACTTTTACTTGAAAAGTTACCAAAAATGTATAATAATTTGATTGTTTTGATGCTTGCAGAAGGACAAATCGGCTTCGTTGCAGCAGGCACCTATACCGATCCTAAGCAAGGAGCTCTGCCAGGTGATTTACAAGCTCCCAGCCTCACAGATGTGCGCTGGATTCTTGCAGGGCGGCATTGACGCCTGCCAGGGCGATTCCGGCGGACCGCTGATCTGCGACGAGCATCTGGCCGGAATAATATCGTGGGGCGTGGGCTGTGCAGATCCCGGTTACCCGGGTGTTTACACCAACGTGACGCACTTTCTAGAATGGATTCGGGCGGCGAACTCCTCGCTAGACTACTCTGAATACCGTCAGATACCGGCTTTGAACTCGGCTGGTCTCAAATCTATATCAGCGCAGTTGTTGCATCTTGGCCTTTTAGTACTTATAGTAGATCTTTTTTGGCGGCTGGACTGCAAATAGATCGCTTTATTGCCCTGATTTACAAGTGAATTATCTTGTCGTGACGTTGACCGACTCTATTAAATACATAAATGGAGGTGCTTACTTGAAGATTCATATTATATAAGGCCTGATTAAGGGGACCGTTTACTGTTGCATTCCCTATAAACTTTTAGAGTTACTTTAAAGTGTGCAATAAGCAATTACTTTTTTTTCAAGTGCATTTTATTTAAACTTTTGGGTTTTTTTTTTAAATTTGCCGTCCAATAAATTTGCCAAGCCCACTTTGGGATTGGTTTATGTTCAGAAATGTAATTCACTCCGACTTTTTATGGTATATAAATAAGTACCTATAGGAAAGAGATATAACGCCTTAACTGTTTGTTTACTGTTTAATAAAAATTAATAAATTGAATGTACAAAAGTAGGTTAAAAAAACTTAATTAAAATAAATACCATCCTATTTGCTCAAATATAAATTGATTACTTCCATGTACCTCGACCTTTCAAATCTTTTCAGTTTGCACATGACGCCACGAGTTGGTGTAAAATTTTAATTGAAATAAACATTGGGCAATGATGAGATTATATGATACTGGGCATAAGCATTCCGATGCATTTAATTGCGCTGACGCGGGTTGAAAACTTAGATCTTAAACAAAGTCAAAGTAAGTCTAAATATATTTGGTTTTGAATACCCTGGTAGTTTCCCACTTCTCAAGGGCCCCATAAATCAGTGTGGCAAACCCATAGATTGTGAGAGCTTTTGGGAATTTCAGCAACGCCACTTAAAACTTAAGGCTGCAGTTCGTCTAACCCGGACGGAGGTCTTCGATTCTCCGGCGATGACAAGTCAGTCCGGTGTTTTCTTGGTATTGTATGATAATGTTTAATGTTTCTTGATTAGATTAGAATGCCTGCCCGATTCCCAACTTTTGATTTGTATGACAATATTGGACAAGTAGGTACAACTCCTGCAATAGTTGGCATTGCCACGTTGGGGAGTTAGCATCTAAATTGGCAGAATGATCGGATGGGGAAAACTGTGGGTGTTTCTTATATCTTTCACTGTGTTTCCGGCGGAACTGAGAGGTATTGAGAAACATATAAGTTATAACAATCTTTTTTAACAAATACCCAATTTTAACCAGGGGCCGTGCGACAGACTTATTTGGACTTACCAGACATCCGGGCGAGACTAAGTGTGGATACTGGCAGGATTATCAACGGAACGGAGGCCACTTTAGGGGCCACCAGGCATCAGGTTGGCATTCGGAAGGCCCTCAACGACGGATACTTTTTTGGTACTGGACATCTCTGCGGAGGATCACTCATTCGGCCGAACTGGGTACTTACCGCAGCACATTGTTTTGTGGAGTGAGTGTGTTTAACCGAAAGGACTAAAGATTAACATTTATTAAGGAGTTTATGTGAGTGCATCTCTTCTAAAACTCCAAAGCATGTGTAGTCTCGAGGAAAAGTAGGGAAAAGTTGCGAAAGACTAGTATCCCCATCTAGTTAACTTTTGTTTTTAAATAGTATATCAATCCGAAATGCGCTCTAAATAGAATAAGTCGTGATGCAGGTTTTAAACTTTTTTTTTACTTTCTTACAGCCAGGATATCTACGACGGCACTTTCGTGCCCAAGGAGGAGTTCATCGTGGTAATGGGTAATTTGGACCGCTACAATCGCACCAATACCCTGACCTTTACAATCGAAGAGCGTGTGATGCAGTTGGAGAAATTCGATCTGTCCACTTACGACAGGGACATCGCCCTGTTAAAACTAAATGGCAGCGTTCCTGCAGATCATCCCACCATTCGTCCGATTTCCCTAAATCGTGATGTCGTTTCCGAGGGTGTTGTTTGCCAGGTGACGGGTTGGGGAAATCGTGAGGATGGCTATATCTCTGATATCCTGATGACTGTCGATGTTCCGATGATAAGCGAGGAGCACTGCATTCAGGACAGTGACCTAGGGCACCTGATCAAGGCGGGAATGATGTGCGCCGGCTATCTGGAGGTGGGGGAAAAGGACGCCTGCTCTGGCGATTCCGGAGGTCCCCTGGTTTGCCAAAGCCAATTGGCCGGAGTAGTATCCTGGGGCATAAGCTGCGCGCAGCCAAGATTGCCAGGTGTGTACACTAATGTGTCCTATTACTACGACTGGGTCCTGGTGAATATGGGAGAGGATGACACCGGTGGTGCCATGTCTGCCGTGGCCGAAAACCCTGCACTTTTGCTTTTTGGACTCCTTGTCCTAAAGCTATTGAGTAGTCATTTATGTTATATCGAGAGTTAGTTCGGCCAAAGCCCTTTATATTTGATGTAAATACAAAGCCTTATTTTTTTTCAAAAATAATATTGCGTTTGTTCTAATATAAATAATATAAGGTACAAGATTACAACAACCACATTATAAACACACTAAAAACAAGAAAGCCGAAGCTTATATACTCTTGCAGTCATATTTGATGACTGCTCATCAAATGCATAAAGGTTAAACAACATCGAAGCTATGACGATATTAGTATAAATTTTCCATATTTTCGACTAATGTTCATTTGGCACCAAATGATAGAGTTATGCGATTTTGATAAAATTTAATCTGAAATTCAATAGTAGTTAGAAAACACCATCTGGAAGAAATCAAGTCGATTCGATGAAAAACAACGGCGTAATTATTTTTTTTTCCGTAATTTTTTTGACCTCTTGTACGGGAGCTATCCGATATAGTCGCCCGATCCGGACCGTTGCGACTTATATACTGCGTGCAATAACTACACAACTTTTGGTAAAGTTTCAACAGATGGTGATGCTGATCAAGAATATGTATATTATACTTTATGGGGTCTGAGGTGTCTCCTTCACTGCGTTACAAACTTCTGACTGTAATTATAATACCCTTTTGCTCTGCAAGGGTATACTAATTTGACCACAACGGTGCCTTTTGGCCGTTTGGTGACCACCTATTACCAATAAACAAATCTAACCTGCTTGACACCTAAAGTTCAAATCCATTATAATTCCATAACCCGATTTTGGTGAAAAAATGTAGTTGTTAAGTTCTTTTTACAGTATATTTTCAGGCAGCCTAAAAAATGTACTTCCCTCGCATATCGGATCGCCGAATTTCGTAGCGATTGTTCGAAGCTAAGAAAAATAGTTTACGACGCAAAAAATAAATCTTGATTTTACCAGGCTGATTACTGGAAGTTACCTGGTTAATCTTTCAAGCACCGGAATGGTTTTGGTGACTGCATGCCGATAGATACGAACCAATTGAACGATCTTAAAACGTGCAGACAAGGACGGTAAATTCCCTAGTCATAAAGTAGTTTCTAGTAGAGATTATAATTGGGAATTGATCATTCCAAGGTTTCGTTACAGCACTATTAATTATTACACACTTTTGGCGTTGGGTGCGCAACCGTAAGGCACATCGACCCTTATCAGCCAAATTCTGCGGTGAAGTCCACTTTTTGTTTTATTTCTTCTTAAGTTTGTTACATGCACCTCTTGAGAAGAAAGTGTAATTTCCGGCACTCGCCGATGAAAACTTGTGGCTTATGAGTTATTGTTGTCTTACCCCAAAAAATGAAGTAACGAGGCCTGCTTCGGGAAGCCAAAGCTTACATGTTCATACTCTATACCCTTGCAGTTCCTAAGGATCATCACTGCATTTCTATAGTAACTCCAAAGGCAAAAGTTGACCAGATTTGTGCTTAGCGAAAACAAATTTCACTGAACATTTTTTAGAACAAAAAAAAAAAAAAATTGGCTTGCATACGGTCTTATCGATTCCGATTTAATGTGTGTGTTTGTTTATTATTCTACTTGATTCTATTCCATTCGGTTATATCACTATATTGGTTCCTGGGTCGTATGTTACTGCTGCCTTATCTCTCGTCATCGCTCACAACAATAACAAGCCTATTGCAATCAAAACTCACAAAACCAAAACAAAAACTATAGAATTATCTAAGAACGCTTTTGCGGATTTGCGTTCGTTCAGTTCAGAAAAGGAGCTCGCGCTATAATTTCTTCATTCTTCGTTCGGAGCTTCGACAGGTCAACCGTTTGCAATCAGTTATTTGTTTTTTTTTTTTGGTTTTTTTTACTCTGAAAATTCTTCACGGGCACCGTTTTCGAAATGCAGCTAAACGATCATTGGCGAAAGATCGTAAAGACCCTTATCTTCGCGTTTCTATGCACTGAAATGCAGACGAGTAAGTAAATGCTATGATTTTGAACTAAAATTTAAAATCTGTCAAGTCACAAATCTCTTCATTTGTGATAGTGAGTTATTACTTCTTTATCATAGTAAATAAAAAAACTAAAGTGTAAATTTTGTCACATTTTAAATCATTAAAAAAAATTTGAGAACATATAATTTCTCAACAACATCGAATTTTTAGTGGATATTCTGTTAATATTTTCTTGGAAATGTAAAGAATCGAAAAATAACATTCGGGAAAATTAAAAAGATCAAATGATTTTTTTTTGCTTAGGAACCACAACTTTTTACCCACTATACTTTGCACATAATTCTGCGATTATCCAAATCGCCGACCGCCTTGAGTGCGTCACTCCAAATTGATCAATCGGCGATCTATCATCGCGTGATCGCCTCAAACTTCCGGGGTTCAATTGGGTAATGTGGGTGGATTCGAAGGGCTCAGTTGTCGGGTGGCAGTAAGGGCGGGCATATCTGCGCTCGCAAAAACAACAACTATGGTGGCCAGATCGGGTCGTGCCCGGGGCGTATGCACTCAAAAACTGATATCAGGGAGCGATCGAGCTGACGCGGAGTGATTGCAAAGAGGCGGTGGTGCTAACACAGAGTGCACTCGGACACTGTTTCCATGGGGGACTCCATCGACTGGCGCTCTTATCAGCTTTCCGCAGTAACCTTCCCCTTGGTTCGTTCTCAGCTTATACACATCGAGTTTTGGCTGCGAAGAGAGCAGTTGGCCTAACCGGAGTGGGTGCCATTGCAACGGCACCCGGAGACGACCGAACCCGACCACAGATGGCTCCGTACCAGGCCTCCATACGGCTCTTGGCCGAGGAGCGGGACTACTTCGGCAAAGGACACATCTGCTCGGGCGCGCTGGTGGCGCCCTCGGTGGTGCTGACCGTCGGTAGCTGTGTTTTCAGGTTTGAAGATCAAAATTCCAGCTAGCAGCTTAAGAATGTGTTCGAATACCACACGTTGTCGGGCAACTCGCCTTACATGTAGTTCTACACTTCTGAGCCAAATGTTAATGGAATAGAGCCCCTTTTGGAAATTTGTTTTAAGACACAACACTCTTTGTTTTTAGCCACGCCAAGCGGAGCGCCTACCATCCATCACAGCTAAGAGTTATGCTCGGAAATCCCCAGAGATTTGCCCCCAGAAGGCAAGCCCTAATGCTTGGAGTGACCCACATCCACCAGCCGCCCAAGGACCTCACCATCGCTATTCTCATGCTGGAAAAGAATGTTCCGGCGGATCATCCCCTCATCCAACCAATTGGTCTACCTTCTTTGGACGTCAGTTCTGGGCTGTACTCGAAATCGGAAAACGTTTTTCTCGTTAGCACGTGGGGGTATGATGGCGATATTAGCGAGCTGCACGATCTGGTCACGTTGAATGTCACCCGCACAACTTGCGATCAGCAACCCAATAAGCCCCCAAAGATTTGTGTCCGGGCGGAGTCTTCAAGCTCTACTCCTGACCGGATCTACATGGATACAGGTGCCACGTTGGCGGGTCTGAATTGCTTGATTGGTTTACAAAGCATCGACGGAAGGTTCGAGGACGTCGCCATACATGTGCAGTGGATAGAGGCCAAGATTGGCGATGGCGGCCACCAAAATAGCTCTATCTGGGGAATTTTGGCATTCTTGGCATTCACCGGTTACGTTATAACCATAAGCAGAAAGAGCTTTTTGCCATAAAATGCCTTTCGATTTATATTATGGGGGAAATAGTAAATTAAGACATCCAAGGCTTAGCAGGAATGATTAAGTCAAGGATTGATGATCTCGACTCGGGTGTTTATCCAGCTAAACACTTTGTGGGCTACATTGGCCGATTTTTAATTTTTTGTTCTATTTAGAATCCAAGAACTATGTCTTCCTGAGCTGCAAAATATGAAAATTTCCAATGCTTCTTCATATAATAAAACATTTTTGTTGTAAATTTTCTGAAACTTCCTTAAGGGAGGCCCCTACTGACTTATATACCTTTAGTTTCTTTCTTCAAAGTGTAAGTAATTGTTTGTTATATAATAGCCCGATTTGTATCGAATTTAATTCGATTTGACGTACTCGTCTAGATCAATTCAGGTGGTAATGATGGCCAAAAATATATATACTTTCCGGGTCTGGGGTGTCGCATTCACTGCGTTGCAAACTCCTGACTGAAATTATAATGGGGTATTATAAGTTTAACAAGGGTTTAATAAGTTAAGTTTTGGTAACATGTACAAAACCGTATAAACGAAAAGTGTAAATGTAACAATTATATTTGAGTGGTCCTCAATTCCAATACTATAATAGAATGTTTAATGAAAGGAAGTACATAAAAACAGTAAAGGTAATTATATAAAGCTAACAATACGATAACCGTATAAACGAAAAGTGTAAATGTTACAATTATATTTGAGTGGTCCTCAATTCCAATACTATAATAGAATGTTTATTGAAAGGAAATACATAAATACAGTAAAGGTAATTATATAAAGCTAACAATACGATACAGCTGTTAACCCAGAACTGATTTAACAAGGTCGCATTTTTCTTCCTTTCCACAAAGCAGCAAAATTAGGGATTCTTCCGCCTGCAATTTTTGGCCCGGTTTCACCAAAGGCCACGCCCACTGGTGCTGTCTTTTGTAGCCAAAAGTGTGTTGTTGCCATCCGGCCACTTGATTATAGCTAAATAAGAAAAAGTGCTCCTCCTCCGGTTGGGTTAATACCAGAAGAAATTGCTCTTCTCCAACTTTAAATGGGGTTAGTTGTTGAATGCGCTCCTGAAGGCTCAACTGCTGGGTGGCCCCAAAGTGTGGTTCCTTGGGGTTTAAGTTGCGCTTGAAAATGGCTATGAGCCGGCAACCCAGACAGCTCAGCAGTAGTTGGTTTTCTTGAATTTCCGCCAGGTCGTAGGGGCCCTGAATCAACTGCAGCACCTTGAATTTGCGGCTTGAGGTATCCGCCAAATGAATAGCCAGTACTGGACGATGGTTGCTCATACCACTGGTGAGCAGTAAGTCCTCTTCAGACTCCGCCACTCGAACCACTTTCATTAGGCGACCGTCAGCCGGCAACACTGATTGCCAATCGGAGAGACTGCAGTTGCTCCTCATCAATCGCAAGACCCGGACCTCTTCTTCGGTGCCCAAGAGCAAGAGCACCGATTCCTCCATTTCCACTAGTTCCATGGCTGCCACTGGCTGATGCATTCCCAGAGTATGTGATTCGTTGCGGCAACTGACGCCCACCCTACTGCGCACTCTCCTAGCTGGACGGTGGCAGTGGTTTTGCACCTTAATCTCAACGCCAACGGAGTCAAGCCCCATGTGTTTGTTGGGCATACTCACGTTTGCAAGGAGCACATGACCTTCAGAGGCCAGAAGCTGGGCCTGTAAGCCCCAGCGTTGGCAAGATGCAGTTTTGCCCGTGGTCAAGCTCAGTTTGGGCCCCCAAGTCTTTTTTAAAGAGGGCTTTAGCCAGGTGAGTTCTAGGCTTTTAGTATCATATTCAAGATAAAGCAGACGTCTGTGGCTGTTATTACCCACCGAAAGAAGTTCCTGCAGCTCTTCCAATGCATTGCCTTGGCTTTTCATCGTTCGCAATTGACTGGGAAATCGGCTCTGACTTTCTTCCAAGACCAGACTTTCTGTAAAAAGGGCTCTATCCAGGACCAGACTATCGATGTTGTAGTTCCTGTTCCGGAAAATAGTAGCCCTGTAACTTTCGCTAAGATCACGGCTGTTTATATACATAACATGCCCAGGTCCAGTCAACCTTACGCCTCCGTGAAATGTCTTCGCACCAGAGATGCTTTGTGCATGGTGGCTATAACGGACAACCAAGTTCTCCAGCTGGATGCCATTGATGGAACGCAGAAGTGGCTGTCCGCCTAGCTGAAGCTGTTCGAAGCTCAGAGATCCAAATACCTCCAAAGCAGCTCCCCTCAGAGGTATGCGATGCTGCAAAAAGTAGTCCAAACTCATTTCGTTCACATTTGCCAGACTGAGATTTTGCTCGACGAGAATCTGCTGGAATTGCGCACCTGCCCAGGACTGCCCTTTAACCTGCTGGTGAATATATTCAACTGGAGCTCCATTTACCTTTGAGTTCCCGATTTGAAGTCTGCGTATCTTGGGAGCCTGGTAAAAGTGGAGCTTCGCTGCAACAGGTTCTGCAGTGGAGACGCTGTAGAGTGAGGAGTTGAGTCGTCCTATATTGATTCCATTAATAAGTCCGAAAAGAGCATCCCGCTCCAGATGAAGGCTCTTGGCTTTAACTGATCCCAGCAGTTCTTGAAGAGCCAATATAACCTGGCCTTCGCTGGCTGGACTGAAGCGGAGGAGGGCATCTTCGGCCAAATGGGTAAAGTTGAGTTCAACAGGCAGACTCTGTTTGGCTTGCAGGTTTTTCAGGTGGGACCTTTCCAGTAGCACATGACCTGCAATGCTCTGGTTACCTGTTTTACGCACAGCATGCTGCCGCAGGTAAGCCAGATGGGATTGGGGCTGTTCTTCACTATTCCATAGGGCATCACCGGTGACCAACAAGTTCAACCAGGGGTGTTGCTGCACTCGCTCCATTCGCTGCTTAAGTTCACTTAGGTAAGTCTTGTTTCCTAAGGGACACTTCAATTTGCCGTTAATGTTAAGCTGCTTCATATAGAGATTACCTTTAAGTTCTATCTCTTTTCGTGTGTCTATAAATAGTTTTTTGGAAGCCCCATTTAAGCGAGACACATTCACGTTAACAGCCACCAATTTTCTGAAAGTGTAGGGACCACTGACTTTTTGTGGTGTCTTGCGAAGCAAGGTGTTTTCAAGCACAAAACTTATATCTACATTGTTTATGTGGGGTGTATTCAAGTCTTTGTTTAGTTGAACATTTTCCATGAAAGTCTTTTTACCACGTAGCTCTGCATTGGTACCAGGTCCTATCAGACGACTTTGGTATTCCTGCCACTGCAATCCATTAACGCTCTGCAGTTGCAGAGGCCTTTGGAAACGCACATTGCCATTAATAAGAAGTTGCTTGTGAAGAAGTAGGGGCTGTTTATTGCCCTCCGAAGCCTTAGACAGCAGGTCATCGAAGAGCAATCCATTAAGACGGCCAAAGTAAAGTGCTTTTAGGTCCGGCTTTCCCGTCAATTCCAGACGTTGCAGACTAAGACCGCTGGAAAGGAGCTGCTGCAAGGGTAGTCCGGTCAGGCGACTGACATTGATGTGGTTATGAGCTCGCAGCTCATCTGCCACAACCAAGCGGGCAAAGCTTTTGGTTCCATTAAAGTTTTGTGAGGTGCCAGTTGCAAGCATTAGTTTGTTTATTGGCGTCCCATTTATTCGATTGGTTTGAAGGGATTTAATAAATAGAGGAGCTTGGAAATGCTTTTGACCTGTCAAATTGGCTTCCTGCCCATGCCGCACTATGTCTTCTGAGGTGTCCCTTAAACGGGAGCTGTAGTTTCTGGAAATAATGTCGCCTTGGACGCTAGCATTCATAAATATAATGTGCAGAGTGCGATTTCGGTATGTGTGACTTTTTTGATGTGCTTTGGTGAGAAGGTGGTCCATGAAAGGGTGTCCGTAAACATAAATGGTGGTGAGTGATGGAGCATTGACTTTGGCTTGTTCAAACATTAAATGGGGGAGAACCTAGAGGCCGAAATGGGTGGTATACATATATCTATTGCATATAAAGCGATGGAATGATAAATTACCTGCACCGTCTCGTTCAAAAGAAACTTGGTAGAGAGATCGGTCCTGGCCAATGGTTGGTTGCCCACGATCGCGAGTGAGTTTTCCGTATCCCGCTGAATATTCCTCACTGTCAGCGAGCCACGGATGGTAATCTTACCCGTATAGTACTGCTGAAGACGTTGCTCCTCCGGTTCCCTGAGTTGTCTCCGCTGCGGCCTCCATTCGCTTTGATTGGCCACCCGTATGTGACCCGAGACATTCATCTGGTATATGCGAACAGGAGCTAAGGAAAGACTCCTTTGAGGCATTCATAAATTAAATCAAAAGGAGTTCATACTCTTAACCCAGTTATCGTTGTCACCACGGAAGAGGATGTCCTGGGCAAAGTTAAGGCCATTCACTCGCTGTGCCTCTAAACGCGGAGCGAAAAAAGCGGACATGTAGATATTAGAGCTGATGACTTGGGCCCGCTGCGTGTTGAAAAGCCGATCGACCACAAGTCCGTTGAAAAGTGGCGTCAGTAGACTAAAAACACGCGCTCGTGATTGCAACAAAAGCTGTCCTTTTATCCAATTGTCTCGGCTGCGCAGGAAAAGAGAGTCCAAAACGGATTCCCAAGACACAGAATTTATCTGCTTTACTTGAAAATGACGTACTACACATTCAATGCCATTTGGCTCCTCTTGACCAATTTCTAAAGCACTATTGTTCTGGAAACCAGGAGGGGCCCAAAGTTGCTTTTTGTTAAGTATCTTGGTCAGCACCCGCCTGTCTCTGATGGTTAACAAAGGTGATCCCGAAGAGTTCCAGTGGTGGCCTTAGAACCCAGATGTCGATTACTTGCACAATATTTATTTAAATTTCTAAACTCACCTGACATCAGCGGTCCTTGGTAAATTAAGTTCCCCACTCGCAGTTGTCGGACATTTAATTTTTCCCGGGCATAATTCTCATTTCCTGTCCCAAAGGAGCGAGGCCTTCTTGGGGACAGTTGTGATCCGAATCGCTGCTGTAGGTCTTCCAGACGTTGTTTTACCTGATTGGGAGTACGCAGATGGTTGTTCGCCAGTCGAAGCCGCTTGACGTGACCTCTTTCTAAAACATGAAGCGCTTTCTCGAGGCGAATGTCAACCCGCCTCTTTAAAGACTGCATAATATCGTTAAGGGCTCCTTGAGAAGATCGCCGGCGCAGCAAAAGCCCTCGCAGTGCATTAATGGACTCTTCGAACTCGTGGCGGTGCAGCTGAACCAGACTAAAATCTGGAGAGGAGGGGTTTAAGTGTTGGCCAATCGGGTTAATCCCAACTGACCTTCATCAGGAGTGGCGCTTACTTGGCTGGAAGCGTCTTCTAAGCTCCCTAGCTGCACAGTTCGAATCAGATCGGCCGAGGATCTCCGATAGACCAGCAGTAGGAAGCTCTCGTTTCGCTTGTTCCTGTGGAAGAATAAGCCACTCGGTTCCGGTTCCCCATGTACTCGAAATCCACTATAGCAATCCAAACGGGTCGAACTGAATATGAGAACCTCTCCGTTGGAGCGTGCTCCGATTAGAAGCTGTCCCTCTTGGGACGCACTTAAGCGGTGAAAATTTAAGTCCCTGCGAGCGGGCTTTCGATATAACACGAATTGGCCATCGAACATGCGGAAGAAGAGACAGGAAGCAGGAGCTGAGAAAGTGCATGCGATGAAACAGTTCCGACCACGAAAGCTGGTCGCCTGAATGCTATGAGCCTGTATAGTTAAGGCCTGGCGATGTTGCAGGCTAAGGTTGTTTTCGTTCAATTCGTACACCGTAAGAACCAGCTTGAAAAGAAAAACACACTACCATTAAAATATAATCAATAAAAGTTAAATAAAAAGATTGGCGTGTGGTATACGTACACTATACTATACCTTTCAAACTACGGCTATTACTTATTACCTTTGAGTGGGAGCCCTTTAAAAATCGCCCAAAAATTATATAGAGCGGCTGACGACCTACTACTTGGAGAATGCGGATGGTCGGCAATTTGATTTCCTCAATGGGATTAAAGTACGTGTCCAGCCACTCAAACGTTCTGTAATATAATAATTAGCATAAATGAACCAAAAAAATGTTCACTTAACATTTCACTATAACATTTCGGCGTCAAGACCAGTTATCGAGAACTTCACGCTTACTCATATTTAATAACTAGACCTTGAATTTGAATATTTTAAAATAAAAAATTTTCTCACCTGCACTTGTTGGATGAACTGGTATGATTCGAGGTCACTAGCAAAATAATCTTTTCGGGACTGGGTTTCAGAAAGCGGATCTGAAGAAATCCCTCCGGCAGCAAGAACTCCTGCAGTGGCTCAAAGGTCAACGGCGTAAGGGTTTCGTTGGATAGCAACAGTTCCTTGGATAGTTGAAAGACTACCAGGTGATCTTCCAGGACCACGGCTAGTAGGAACAAATGCCGCCAGCTCACGATTTCTACTCCGAGGGCGCTACGACCCCTCACCTCTAAGTTGCCAAGTGACACTAAACGCTGCTCTCCAGTGGCCACGTGCAACTTAAAAATGTGTGGTACATGAAGCAGCAAAAGCAAATCCTCGTCGGGTTCGTGGAGTACGAAAAGGTCGTTATTATGTTGCACCAACATATCCATAAAGGGGAGACGGATCTCTGGTCTAGTGGTGCTACCATTTAACTCATTTCTGCACGAGCCTAAAATGATTTGGGTTGACTTCGGAATTTCGGATGCTTGGACGGCGGGAAATTGAGATCCTATTTGGCTTTTATAGAACGCCATGACACAAAATAACACTGAACAAATGCGGGCCAAAAACATTTTACAGAGCTCACACGGAAGAAAAGGCACAGAGATTGCTGAAATTGCGTAACGCAGAGCAATATTGGTATTCTATTCACATGGAAATACTACATTCGTATGGTTCCACCTTCATTCTTAACTGTTAACTTATCTCTCCAATACAAGATGTTAAGAAAGCAAAGGTAAATCCGTTAGTTGAGGTAAGTGTGGTAGAAACGAAAACAGCGGTTTGATTTTATAACTGGTACAATGGATTTACATTGTTGGTTTGCCCATAGAATACGTGTGTTCTTCCTTATTTTGTGATAGTTAAAGGAGAATGTTTTTTTGTTTTTTTATAACAGATGCGTGCTCAGCCTGAACGCATGCTAGATAACCGTATGAGTTTTTCCCGATATTCTCCACAGTTGTCAATCAGCCTATCTTCCTTCTGTTTGCTCTGCCTTAGCTGATACCTTGGGCTGGGAATTCCATTTTCGTGGGGATTTGGGAATGTATGGCAGGGAATCTATAAATAACGCAGAAAAACTTAGTGAGTGCCCTCAATGATTATTCTCAATCAATCAGCAGAGAACACTAGCTAAGGTCATTAATGGCATTAACACCAAAAACACATTTAACGCGGAAATACATAATAAAAAGAAAATTTAAAAGAAAGGTTAAACACATATATTTATTTGTTGCGGAACGGGACCCTCAAATCCTCAACTTTATTCAAAGAGAAGAAAAACCTTTGCTTGAGTAAATGTTATTATTTTCCTATTTATTATTATTATTATTAATATTATTATTAATATTATTATTATTATTATTATTATTTTTATTATTATTATTATTATTTTTATTTTTGTTTTTATTTTTATTTTTATTTTTATTGCGGCGTCCGAGTATGGAACATTGAACATTTGGTAAAAATACACAAAAGAATCTTTACAATATTTACGCCATACAAAACTACATTTATAGTAAAGTCAAAACTCATTATTTCTGCATTTATATGCATATAGTACATCTGTATACGTACATACATGGGTGTTTCGGTTACCACCTGTAGGTGTCGTTGAGGGTTTGGTAAGGGTGAATCTTAGTCGGTGAACTTTATTTCATTCTTATTTTTGTTGAGTCTTATTTCTTTGACCATTTCGAGCAGATGCGCGAATTCGAGGCATTCATTTAGGTCATAGGCCAAACCCCCCTCCCCCTCCTGTCCACTAATTGATGGTTAAGAGAAGCAATTGATTCCGCTGCCTGCTGCTCATCAGCTTGCTCTGTGCCTGTTGGGGCCTGCTTGGAGTTTTCCGACAATGTACCCCTCTCTTGCGAGAAAGAGGGAAAGCACTTCTCTCCCGAGTCAACTTCCAAGTAAACGCTTTACTTACAATTCACTCTCTCTTTTCGCCTTTTTCATTTTTCCACTCGAGTGTGTGACTCACCCACTAATCGAAAGAGAGCACTGCACATTGGGCCGATTACTTTTCATGATTAACACAATAGTTTTTTATTTTTATGGTTCTGTAAAAATTTATTTGTGTATTACGTTTACCATAAAATCGTATAAAATCACTACTTACTAATGGAAATGAGAGAGAAATTTAATTAGCACCACCAAAGTTTAAAGGGTATAACATTGTTTTGTTTTCGTTTAATAAAAACAACACCCACTGTGCGAGCAGAAATTATTCTAGAGCACAGCAAGATCGCTCATTGGACGAGTTTACGTGGTGTCCCATGGACGTGCGCGCATTGTTTAAATTTAGTCGCATCGGGACAGAATAAATTTTGAAGTCTCCTTGTTTGATTTCCAACTGTGAATATTTTTTTTGATTTTTTTCTCCTGTGAAAATGCCAAATGCCATGAGTTATGGAAATCCGTAAAGCACACGATTAAGAGCGCTAGCCCAAAACTCAAAATGAAACTGTGGAAATCGAAAAAGCCTATTGGAGGCTGTGTGCCTGGAAAATCAACTGCTCTCAAACAGGACCAACATCAACAGACACACGAGTCCAAAAATAGTACTTCAAACGGATTTCATCATCCGCAGACGGACACGGCCTTGTCTCCTATTATATCCGGAGGTAAGTAACTTCTCCGATTTTCTTTCCCTTTCACCTAGGAACTAACATCCTATCTCAAATACTAACAAAAATTCAGCTGAAGCGCCCAACAAATGCGCTCCCATTTTGTCAGATTTTTCTCTGGGTGCTCTGATGTATCGTACTTCCGCCCAAGGTGCTTGGTTGCGTACGGCCCTCTAGTGCTCGACTTTCGATATACAAATATCCGACGATGAATTTGTGTCTTCATCCCCAAGTTGCGCAGCCAAAAATGTATTAGTCAAATATACATACATTTATCTTTATTTTGTGTATTATATTATAATATTATTTTGTAGCATATCTGAATTTGTTTTATGCTTACATTAACATCCAAAAGTGTATATCTTGACAGACTTACAATTTCGAATATAAGAGGCAGTTAAACGAACGGTGTTTTTATCGTCCATGGACTTATGAATGATCTAAAAATGACGTCAATGCTGAAAAATGCTGGAGGACCAGATTCTATGATACTAAAAAAGAAGAGAAAGAAGAAGTTTAATTGTATTCGATGAATTTCTTTCATAATGAGCGTAATTACCATTTAATTACTTGTTTCTCTTGATCCGTATTGTTGGTTTCTCCGCGTGCTTGCCATTTTTCATAATTTAATTTCTTGCTTGGATTGTATTTACTAAATAGGGTCAAGTAACTGGTTAGCACTTCTGATACCGAGCCCCAAGATGCAGATGCATAGCAGTGATCATGAGATCAACGCAGGTGCGTTACTGGAAATAACTTTTCTTATTACTAATTTCAGTTATGTCAATAATAAAAACACGGCTAAATTCTATGCAAGTTTTAGGTTTCCAAAAAGTTTTTACTAAGTTCAAAAATCAGTGGATGTATAATATGTATTACATATTTAAATCAAGTATTTTTTTGAGTGTGAGATATCTTAAAATTGTTGATGCTATCGCGGAACCTCTACATTTCCTCTACCCCATACACTCGTCCAACTGCTCTTTCCCATTCGTTTTTCGAAAATCGAAAACATTTCCCCCCTATTTTTTATGCCATGTGCATAAGAGTTTCCTACTTGTAGGGGTGTGTGTGTGTTTTTTCGCCACGTTGCGGCCATCGTGTATAAACAAAAAGGGAACATTGATATGGTACAGACATGGTTGGTGGGGGAAAGCGATCTGAAGAGAGCTGAAGAAGACTCAACATTTTGACGTAATTAAAACGAAGTGAGCGCAGAGCGAGTGGGATTTTTCGATCTGTCCAGCGGTGTCATCACCGTTTTTATCGCAGGGGCGTATGCAGCCCGCAACGATAAATAAAATGAACTAGAAATTTTGTCTAACTGGCATTATACAAAACTACAGACTGTTTAATTTAAAAAAAATATTTTTTAAAAGCCCCATATAAAAGTACTGCCTACGCCACTGATTGTATAGTACATTGTTTTCGAGTGTCATAGACGAGCAGTTCTTTTATTGTGTTTATTTAAAATCTTTGCGCCCCATAACATAAGGCTACAAAATATAATGGAGTGATGACGGAGGAGCAGCGCCCAAACAAAAGAGGTGTGACGGAAGGATATGTCGTATAGGCGTATTGGTAACGAGGAAATAATTCGGAATGGCAGTTGCTGCCAATTGATAAAGTAAATAAAATTTCGCCACAAATGTTGCAGAAAGTTGCCGTCCGGCACATAAAACCGGGAATATGTTCAAAACCAATTTAAATTAAAGAAACTTTGTGGTACATTCATTGACAGACAATTCCCCCCACATTATAATTTATATTATCTATTTCTTTGTTCATTGACCCCTTGTTTTGAAAATTTCTTTCGTGCTTTCAAACCAATTCCAAACCAATTTTATAATCCCGTTTTGTTTGTGTTGTCTTTTTGGTTTTTGCCGCAAAATTCGCCCATTTCCCACTGCATCAGAATTATGCCAAGAGAGGGAAAATGCCAAACGGTTTAACGGTTGATATTTTAGCTCAGTGTAAAAATAGCAATCAAAACTTAAAAATTAAAAGCAGAATTGCAAACTGGAGGGAGGTTTATGTAGGAGATAACAAGTCTTATTATTTTAGTAATAGAGAGTTTCAAAATGATTTTACAAATTTAAATCAACAATCAAATAAATCAAATTAATTTATGAGGCGAAATAATAATAAAAGGGCTAAAGCTATTCGTCTTATTTTCTTGAAAATACAAATTATTATTTTCAAAACAATATTTATTGGATGTAGCACTTAAAGTTAGGGTCTTAGGTGATCTAACACAGACTCATTTTTGGTGAGCATAACACTAATTGTCTGCTTTTTTTTTTATTTTCTTTCCACCAAACATTTACTCTAAAATATATAATAATAATAATTTTAGTCAGAAGTTTTTATTCTAAATCAGCATTCCGGTGGATTTAGAATCGTTTGTCTCTTACCCAGTTTTAAATCCCGCTGAAATTTCGTCGATAATTTTTTTTACGCTGCAACAAATCAAAATACTATTCTGCATACGATGCAATATGAAAGTCTTTCATCCCCATCTTTTGTTTCAACGTGCTCTGTAAAAAGGCATAAATATACCGAAATTGTCGTAAATATGTTTTGGCTTAGTGCGTCTTGGTAGCGGCTCTGCGCCGTCAATATTATCCAAGTTTTGGCTTGATCTGCAGGGCCTGATCCCTTCCCCCCTTAACCCGCCTCCACTTATGGGGGGATGTCCAGATGTGGCTCTTTTAGATGTTGACATTTTTGCGGAATTGCGCTCAAGTTGATTCGCTTTAATTGGGTTTTCTTGTCAATTTTCTTTAGGAAATAAAAGGAAAAAAACGGAAAAGGGGGCATTCAACATAAAAAAAAACACAACACTTTAAAAGGAAACATAAGCCTTTAGTTACGTTTTCAAAACAATATCAAGTTGCTGGTCCCTACAAGACCAAAACACTCTTCTTTAGGGCAATTAAAAAAAAAATGAAAAATGTTTGAACCCGATTCATGTAAACTAATTAATACTCAGTCAGTTATTGGAAGATTCACACTTTCAATTGACTGACTGACAAACATCCACTACAAAGATCCACTACATATAGGCCTTCAAGCAAGTTCTTTGTTCACCGCCCGCCGGAAGTCTTTTCGGATGAACTCAATTTTAGCCAGAGAAAAAATTGGCAACTGTCACCGACAAATTTTTTTGCAACTTTTCTGTGAGAGATCATAAAAACTAACGTGCGATTGTACCATAACACCAAAAATTCGTTTAACTATCACACCAATCTGAGAGATGAATTTCATATTCTGTAAAACAAATCTGCGATTTGCAATCGATGTCTATTATAACCATAAGGCACCTTTGTGGCTACAATTAGCTACAACTAAATTTATAATATAAAGAATACTATAAAACTAGTTAACTGAGAGAAAATTATTATTTAACTAAATGGTAACATTTTTTTTTTCTTTTGGCAAAAGCTTATATTATTTTTAACTGAGTTAAAACCATAACCAATAAATAAATATTATATCCTGGTAATGCCCAACTATTGTATTGTATCTTTGCATGTACATATATAGTTTTTGAGCTTAATTAATAATTTAAATTTGTCTGTAATTTTATTCATGTGCTTTTACACACTAATGCTGGCCACCCGCAAAAAAAAACCAAGACCAACGAGAAAAGCAAATCGGAAAAAACAAAAAGCGCCTTCGTTTGCTCCGCTATATCAAATGGAAATAAAAAGTGCGCGTGTATAAATAGCACACAAAAACGCATTCAAAAAACACGCAAGCCATAGGGAGAACTGAAAACAAATTAAAGCTAGTGTAAGTGGAGACAAAAATATAGATGAAAGAGAAATCAAGCTTTAGCAACTAAATATTATTATTTATTTATTTAACTTTGAGTTCGAAACTAAAAATTTGAGAGCGACTTGATCAGTTATATATTTTCTGGTCCAAAATTATACACTTTATCATACTGAATTATACGACTGTGAGTGTATATGTATGTACCAAAATAGATATTTTAACAAAAAAGGCAAACCAAAGCTTGTCGGCCCTTGAACTTTGTAAAATTTCTAAAATCCAAGTGAATGTCCGCTATTACTTACTATGTGTGCAACTGGACCAAATTGGCACACCCTTTTAAGCTAAAGACGAGCTAAAAGAAACAAAACTGAAACCAAAGATAACCCATTAACGAAAATAAATTATGGTGTATCAGCTCGCTACATGGAAAAGCTGCGTGAGCGTCTGCGTCGGACAAATGAAGCGAAACGTAACTTTTGTAAGCAGCTCACTGGGTATATAAGTTGTTCAATTGGTTTTTGTTTTTTGGTTTCTGGCTATTTATTGTTGCTGTTTTGTACACTCGGGCCGACGTATTCAAAACATGTTTGCGCCATCAAAGCAATCGAAAATAAAAGTCGCGTCCGCTTGCGTCGAGAGTTAGCTCCAATGAATTGGGCTTCTTTGTTATTTTGACTTTAAGTTCTTTTCCAGTGTAACTTGTCATATCTACATGGCAGAGAATCGCGTATACGCTTCAGGGCATCCCAAAAAATACCAAAAAGTGTTCCTAAACTGAGAAACCAAAAACTTTTAGCTTGTAAAGATATGTACAAACATACATACATATATAGATATACGTATGTAGATGTAGGGCTTGTCATAAGAAACATATATTAAATACAATTTTATTGGCTTTTCTTTAGCTTGAACTAGTGTTTATTCGCTTACACTTTAGACTAAGCCTACAAAACGGTTCATTTTCCAGGCTCTTATCTGATATTAAGCTATTTTGACCTGGCGACGTTTTTAAATTTTGTGTTTGTCGTGCCACATGTTTGGGAGCCATTTGGTGTTTATATCTGTTTTCGGTTTAATTTTTTTGCAATTACAGCGAATTTTATTAAAGAATTTTTGACAACGTCGATTTGTGATGAACAGACGACGGAGATTGATGGTTATATTAGAGAAGGTAGGGCCTTCTTTGATGTCTGGTGTGGTGAAATAAATTAAGAATAAGATGGCCAGAACTACACTTTGATGTCTGATCTGTTATGTTTACTCACTTCCAATTTGCCTATTTTTATATTTTTTTACAGTTGACCGAGCAATGAGTCCTGCCCAATCGGAAGACTCCGGATTGGCTCCGGAAAGGGGAACCACCTACGCCACTATCACCTTGCCGCGTAACGCTCTGCACTTAGCCATCACATTCGCAGGTAAGAAGGCTCTTTTTCGAAACGCATCTATACAGTAAATAAATTCCTGAGTTTATGTGGCTCGAAGAAAAAAGTTCATCAATAGAGGTTGTTTGGAGAACCCAATAGATTACTGTAAGCGGATATGCAAGTAACAAAGTCGCTTAATATAACTGTTATCTTTGCATTATTTTAAAATTTGATTAGACAAGTTACTTAAATTAAAGCAAACACAATGCTTGACAAAATCAAAAAATCACAACGGATTTGATACAATATTAGAATTGTAGAATTTTTTTTCTTATTTTTCAATCGAGGATTACAGCCGTGTATATTAAAAAGACCGTTAACATTCGGCAATGGATTCTTGTCTGCGGATATATGTACTGCGCTATAGCTAAATTGCTTTTGCCGATCACCAGACGAAGTGGGACGGCCCGAATCGTTCATTTCTAATGCGTAATGCGTCCAAGTCGATATGGATATTGCTTTGTCCGGATTCGTGTCTCCGCCTGCCGTCGCCGCCAATATAAATCATCGTCTCTATCAAGAGAGAAGCCCAACCCCAGGGGCAGTTTGAGGAGACAGACAGGGGGCCAGACAAAAAAATAATAATCGGAGTGTTCATTGTACACGTACGCACAGGACACGTCACAATTCTATTACTTTAAAAATCACATGAACACTTGAATAGAGTGATTTTAGCTGTTTAACGTCAATACAATTACTAAACTAATTTCTTTCCACTACTTAGATTTTAATTTTGAAATGTGATTTACTTAAATTCTGACTCATTTTTATAGTAGCTGCTACTAATTTTGCCTGACTGAAATTATAGAACCCTCTGCAATGTTATACAAATTAGTGGAACAAAATTGTAAAACCGTTGTTTTTATCATACAAGCTATCATAAAGCTATCAACTTCTTTCTCCAGAACGCAATGATCTGTCGTATCCGCCGGTGGTGGGTTCCTTGAATCCGGTGGGTCATGCGGCGGATTTTCTGGCGCCTGGAGATCGTCTTCATCAGATCGACGGGACATCGACAATTGGCTTGAGCAACCAGAAGGTGATGAACATGCTGTGCGCTGGAGGATTGGATCTGGGCCCGGCCATCGTGGAGATTGAGTACTCCCTGCCTGAGTACAGTAAGGAAACCTATACTATCTACCTTTTCACCTCTCATTAGCCTTTTGTCATGCTTGTTGTCCCGGCCGCAGCAGTTTCCCAGAACAGCCTTTGTGTTACCTCGAAGCTGGCTCAGATCACCGTAGAGAGGGAAAGTGGGTGCCTGGGATTGACGTTACGGGGAGGGGCAGACTACCCCCTGATTGTCACCCATGTGAGGCCCCAAGGACCAGTGTATAAGACGGGTCGTATTAAGCCTGGAGATCGGCTGCTTCGCGTCGATAATGTAAGTTATCTTACATTGGAGCTGCCTTTTGGCTGCAAAGTTCTCGAATTCAATTTAGAAAAATATTTTTATATTTTTAAATAGATCTCACTTATTGGTAAGACGCTCACGGAGGCGCAGCAAATTATTAAGTGTGGCGGTCATGTTTCCGGTTACACAAACCTAACGATCGAGTACGACGTTTCCGTGGTGCAGAGCGTCGAGTTCTCGATGGGACCGCTGCTCATTGAAATCGAACGACCCATGAATGAAAAGTTAGGACTGGTACTTTGCAACTACCCGTCGGGAATGCCTGTTTCTGGGTCCGGTTCGAGTACTCCTTCCAGTGGCGAAAAGATCGAGGAATCGGCAAACATTTTCATAGCGAGCATCCTGCCCGCCAGCATCGCAGATCGGTAAGGTGGTTCTTCTGAGTTGTTTTCCAACTTATGAACGGCTTATTCTTTTTCAGCTGCGGTGCCCTATCCGTCGGCGATCAAGTGCTCTCCATCGACGAGACAATGATCGAGAACTCGGCTTTTAGCCCCGACGAGCTGATGACCATATTGGACACCAGCACCGGCCGCGGCTACACGCAGATGCAGATCATGCCCGCGCACGCGTTGGCCCGTCACTGTGAGTTTCGGTTGTGGTCTGAGCCCACCCCCCTATATTGACAAAGCCATGTAGTTGCTACCAGGCAGTTACAACACACTCAGGCCCTCTAGGGGATTGACAAAGTTCTGGCGAGGTGTTATCCCAGCATCACCAGCTTAACAAAAACAAGAAAAGAAGCTAGCTTCGGCAAGCCGAAGCTTATATACCCTGGCAGCCGAACAAAATACATAAAAACTAAACAGCATCGAAGCTGTCACGTTTTTTCTATTAATTTTTCATATTTTCGACTATTGTTTATATGACAGCTATATGATAAAGTCGTCCGATTTTGATGAAATTCAATTCGTTATTCAAGAGTCGTTAGAAAACTCTATACTCAAGAATATATATACTTTATGGGGTCTGAGGTGTCTCCTTCACTGCGTTGCAAACTTCTGACTGAAATTATAATACCCTTTGCTCTGTAAGGGTATAAATATCGCAAAGTAATCCAGTAGAAGCAAATTTCGCGAATTACGCGAACGTTCTAACCAAACTGCAAAATAACTGAAATTTTTAACTTTTCGTATTCGAGATGTAACTGGTAAAATGGCATTTATGTGATTATGTGATTTGATCTGGTACGACATTATGGTGTCCGTATGTGTAGAGCTCTACGTTGGTGCTACTTTGTTTCGTGTTTATTGGTCTATTTGATTGATGTACTTATTGTTTATGTGCCGTGGAAAAAGCACTACAATAGCTCTGGGCAATTTAGCAGTTTTCAAAAGTTATTTCTTCTTTAGGAAAATACAACTGACAAAACTGATTTTTTCATGTGTGATTTGTAAGCAAGTGCCAATAAAAGAAGAAGCCTGCTGACTAATCGAAATTTATAGATCGAATTGCTAGTTGCTTAAGCTTTAATAAAGACATACATAGAGTATATAAAGATTGAGTTACGTTGTTGCCTCTTTTAAAAAGTATTCCGAATGACCGCACGCGGATCTCCCACACTTTAATAACCTTTTGAAAACAAAATAATATATTTACATATATTTAATTAAGTTACGAATCTAGCTAGCTTACTTTCTTGTAAGTAATATTATATAAGCGCGAAACACAAAAATGTAAGGAGGTGCGGTACTCGACCATATATTGTTATTACCTGCTCGGACGTGTTAACCCTAATCTGTATTACCCATTTCATCCTTCAGGTCACACGGCGTTAGGTAGCCCCAAGTACAGCTTTGGCACCCTCGAGTCCCGGAAATCCTCGACGGCTGGCCGCCAGCGTCAGCGCTTGTCCCGCAAGAGTTCTCTGCCCTTGGAAAGTCAGGTCAGCACTCTAAGCGCCACAGGAACAGCAGGAGTAACAGCCGGCTTGGGTCTCTGCCGGGCGGAGAGCTTTCCAGTTCTTCTGGATTGCAGCCAAGGGGCAGGCATTGTCCTCGGCGAGTCCGGGGCGAACATGCCAGGAGCCGGGGGACCTGGAGCTGTGACCATTGACAAGATCATAGCGGATTCAGTGGCCGATCGCAGTGGTTGCATTCAGACAGGAGATCGTATAGTGGCCATTAACAAGATGTACAGCTTGGATGCGGCGGCTATGAGGCAGCTCCTTGAGGGTGGATTCACTCGCAGTGGTGGAGGGAACTCTGGAACGCCAGCCAACTGGCTGGAGCTGGAGATTGAATTCGATATGCCAGATGCGGTGGTGCCCTCCAGTGGCGTGTTCAGTGTAAAGCTGCTAACGGCCGGCAAACGTGGATTAGGACTTAGTGTTAGCGGTGCCAGTCACGGAGGCTTAGTCATTTCAGATGTCAAAATGGGCAGTCCTGCCCATCGCAGTGGCTCCCTGCGATCGGGGGATATCCTCCTAGCCGTGGATCAGCATCCAGTGCAGCATTTCAACGTGGACGCCCTGCTCACGGAAGAGGGCAGATCGCAGAACTCCAGTCAGAGCTTCTCGGAGTTTACCACCGTGACGATAAAGCGGGTCGTTCTGCCCGATTTCCTGCCCATGTCAATTCCGATTTACAGCAATTGCCCCGCTAGTGGCAATAATTTGGGAACGGGAATCGGTGCTTCCGCCAATTTTCCTACCGATCACGATCTTTATAGCAGTACTTATGTGACAGCGGGAAAGTACGCGGATTGTGTATCTCTGAAGTCGAAGACTCCTCAACCGGAGTACTTTCGAGTGCCTAGCATGGACGACGCCAGTCTGCAGTCCGTGCAATTGCGATCGGGGGCGGGATCAGCCGGGGGTCAGACCAAAGGCTGGTCAACCGGGGTTAACAGTCGATCCTTCGTAATGCCGCCCAATACGCAGAGTCTCACCACCGAGTTACCCGAGGAGGAAGACGAGCAGGAGCAGCTGTATGCTGGATATGAACTCAATCGCTATGCCAGGTGAGCTTTAAAAAACTTTTGCGTCGCTATTGTTCGGGGGTCCAGAACTCTCGTTCAAACTGTATGTTAAAGCTAGATGTTCCAATAACCTTTTAGCTCTGAATTAAGATTTTCAGACAAATAACAATTTGGCAATAAGGATATGGTCTGTCCGTCCGACTTTACCTTTACCTTTTTACGCAAGCCAGTTCCTGAGTTTTAAACTACCCGTCAGAAACTTTCCCTTTCAAACCTATGTTTATTACTTTTCTAGTGTTGACTGTACCGCCTTGCCACCGCCCATGGAAAACAAGGTGTATGGATCGGCTGCCAGTTCCAGCAGCAAAAGCAGTTGTAGCAGCTTGCACCAAATAATATTCACCGTGCGGTTAGAGCCCAAAGGAGGATTACTAGGGATAACCTTGGCTGGCAGCGAGGACATCACCAAGCCCATCACGATCAGCGGTCTTGTGGAGGGTACGTTTGAATATGCAGATGTAAAAAAAAAAATTTAATTATATATCTCCCATATTACCAGGCGGCATTGCCCAAAAAAATGGCCAGATAAATGTGGGCGACCAGCTGCTGGCTATCGATGAGCACTCGGTGCAGGGAATTCCCCTTTCGCACGCTACTAGTCTTTTGCAGAATCTTGGCGATCTAGTAGACCTCAAGATATTGCGAGGTCATGATTTGGCCAACAGAAGCCATGTTCCACAGGCGCAGGCCATCTATGCCAAGATCCAAAGGCGTCCTCGAAGTCCCTCGTCCAACATGGATGGTATCAAAGAAACGGGCAATGGGAATGCAAGCCAGGATGATAGCGCCAATGGAATTGTCAGTGGAAGTCCCCGAATTTTCCATGTCGTTCTGTACAAAGATAAGGTGTACGACGACTATGGATTCTCGGTTTCGGATGGACTTTACGAGCGTGGCGTGTTCATCAACAGGATTCGGACTGGAGGTCCAGCTGATTTTTGCGGTCTGCTTAAGCCTTTCGATCGCATTATGCAGGTATGCAGGTGGTTGTTATTGTTGAGATTTTAATATTTTTAAGTATTACGTAATCCCTAGGTAAACGAGATAAAGACGCAGGACTTTGACTGCTGCCTTACTGTTCCGCTGATTGCCGCTGCCGGCGATAAAATTGAGATGATTATGCAACGCACCGAGTAATTCTTGCGTGTTAGATCCTTAAAACATAAAATTAGTTTTACGCTAATGTTTTCTAAACTATCATTGCCAATACCCTGAAAAAGTTAACCTAAATAGACATAGCAGTCTGTCGTAACCAAATATGTCGCCTTTTAAAATAGTTCTGCCGTAATTTTACATCAATATTATTTAAAATTTATTTTTTAGCATAAATGTTTTAAAAATGTAGTTATATTGCCGTTAAAAACTAATTTAAAAACATTAAATATTTTGTTTCTTGACCATAGAGTAGAAATTTATTAAAAAATTTATAATAAAATATAATAAAATATAATATAATATAATATAATATAATATAATATAATATAATATAATATAATATAATATAATATAATATAATATAATAAATAATATAATATAATATAATATAATATAAAATAAGAATTTATTATAATATAAAATAATAATAAGATATGATGATAATATGAACATACTTCATTTTAATTCTTCATATTGGTGAAGCTGGATTTTTTTTACCAATCAATTTTCTAAGTTTTTTTTTTTAATGATTTTTGCGATTTTCCATATTTCAAATGGTTTTTGTCTGTTGTTTGGACAAGAAAAGACTTACAGCCGAACAAAGTATACTTTTGAAAAACAGAGAAGCCCAACAATGTATTCGAACAGAAACGACAAGCCGGCGTATACCGAATTCAGTTGACACAAATTTAACAGATGCAAGCTACTATGAATTATGTTCGCCTGGTGACTGAAATCTCATCATTCGACCAAGTCCAGAGTAATATTTTCCATTTTGCCAGCTAAATTGGCTACATATAAAACATACCAGTAACGCCATAATGTCGGCACAACTTGTAACATATGTTATGAGACTCCGCTTTTTCTGGATGGAGTTCAGTAATCATTACAATCAGTTCAGTAATCATTTGTACATATATTTTTGCACCTGCACATTGTTTATAAGTTGCCATCAGTTTCATTCAAAGCCCAATTCATTTTTAAATTCTTTAATTTAACTTACATCTGTAGGTTCGTTTTTCTTGGGATAGTGTTTTATTATTTACGCTTATCATTTATATAATAACACATATGTATGTAAATGCATAGATAGACTTAACAACTAAATGTATATCCATATATGAATATATAGTATTCCGAAAAAGGAGACCCACATCTAAAAATAATACAGATCAATATATTCAGTTCGTCTTACGAAATCGCTGTTTAGTGGGCAGTCTACAATTTTAAAATCATTATTCTCAGCGTGGTACCTTTTGTACCGTCTTTTGATATTGATTTTGATAGTTATATATTGAGAAAAAATTCTATATTGTACTTTTATAAGATTATTCGCACAAGACTTACTCTACTTTCCCCTTTCATCCCCTTTGTGCTCCCTAGCACATGCTTGCTTGTGAATATGTACACTATGTACATACATACATACATATACGTGTATACATTTTTGAATTGATAATTTTAAAAGGCCGCACTTTGACGTCAATAAGCAATACTCAAGATCCTGGTGGAATCTCGACCGATTGGACACCCGTAAACACCTTCTCCGGACTTTGAACGCGTCGAAAACGAATCGGGATTCTTTAAGAAAAGCTTGCAGCTGATAAGATGTGCCAATGACGCCAAGTGTCAGAGGCGGCGGGGCTGAGGTTAAGGAATTTACCAGGGTCCGAAGGTCCGTGTATAAGCACAGTTTTAATTAGCCCTATTACTTGGGGAGAAATTCTTCTGGAGTAAAAAAAAATTAATGTTCCATGGAACGTATCTCAAATGTTTTAATGTTTGCTAAGCACTGTAAAACGCATTTTTTTATTTGCTATTCTGTTGTAAAACAAATTGAGTTTGTCAAGACATAAATAATAAGACATGTATAGTTGATAACGTACAATAATTAAATTCCCCACACTAACTTGAATGACTCTCGACTTAGATAATTAGACATGTATGTCTGATAACAAACAACCATTAATTTACTTACATATATTTGAATTTTCGCCTAGTATCTGGAAACATGATTTAATGTTTCCTTTTCAATTTCTTTCGTATACTAAATTCTTTGCAAAATGGTTAATGGAGATACCCGAAGGGGGGATACGGGATCCCTGTTGTGCAGCTCCCTTTCGAAAAGATTGCTCATGGCAGTCACTTTGTTGTCGGCGGGAAGCTTTTTTCTTATCAATATTTTAACAAAGAGGAGCTCCGCTTAATGCTGAACATTGCATCTTTTTACATTGCGTTATCAGCGGGCTTAGAAACCGTTTCTCTCTTTTTTCTTGTTTTCTCTGCCGCGAGTCGCTTGTCATGGCTAAGTGATCAGAGATGACTATATATTAAACATACACAAAATCTGCTATGTATTTTTGAAATAGGATTAACCTTTCTTTATTATTTATTTGGTATTTTGGGTTAAAATAAATTATTTTGAAAGAATTATCGATGTACAGAAAATTTCTGACCACAAAATAGATCCCAAAGCATGTGTCGCAATATTGTGAGCGCATTTTCTTTATGGTCCACCGCATACCCCTAAAGCACTACGAAATATAAATAGAAAAATTAAAAAAATATATATAAATATAAAACATTTTAACCTCGTCTTGTAAATACTCCTTGATACAATACAAAACAAAAAAACTTAAAGCGGGAATAGTGAGAGTATGTAATGAACAGTCCGATTTCATTAAATCTGTCGAATAGTCGAATCGGCTAGAGATCGGTGGAACAGACAGCACTATTCGTGTAACGTCCATCGTGCATACTCGGATGCAGCTTTACGCTTCGTTTTTGATTACGAATTCGATTGCTCGGTGTTGTCTGTGGTTTGGCAGATGGGCATAAAAATTGCGAGGGTGCAGCTCATCCGTTCAGTTCGCCTACGGTACCCAAGTGACTTAGATTATACGCACAGCTAAGTTTTTTCAGTTTCCATCAGAGATAGTGAGAGCCCTCAGCCGAAAGTGGGAGACAGGCGATAAGATTACCGTCAACTTAATTAAAAACTAAAAGTCGTAACTCGAAAATATTGTCCTTAGCCTTAGATAATAAAGAGCAGCCAACTCAAGTGGCACTCGTTTGAGTGGCTTGTGAATATGCGCCAAAAAAATAACTGAACAAGCCGTGAAATCAAGGAAGTGATCTTCGCTGGGAATTCTCAACATCGAAAGGTTCCAACGCCAAAAGATGTATGTGGCCAGCTCCACTGGTGGGCTGATGCTGCAGACCATGTTGTACTTGGCCAATCAGACCAGTCTGGCGACAGTAGGCACTTTGGTTGATTTTCCACCAGCCCCCAAGAGCGGTAAGTGATCCGATGAACTGCCAAAAAATTTATTTACCAATTGCACAACCCTGCGAGGGCGAATGGGGCTCATAAAATGTGGCCGCAAAATATCACTGATTTGTGGTACGATGAGTTAAGAAAATCCTTCACCAACAAAACTTAAAGCAAACCCGTGAAATTTGTAATTAACCGGGTCATAATTAGGTTGTATGCCAAGTCAGTGACTTAAAAAGTTTTAACACCCATTGACACCTCTTCCTTCCAGCGGCAAAAGAAAAGAAAAATCAGGGTCCCACAGGCAAATTGCGTGACTCATTCTGTTAGATGTGATAAACTTACTACATACGGTTTTTGTAGTGGTTTTGGGAGACTCCAAACAAGCCTATCTAATCGAAAGCTTCCGATTGAAACGAACAGCTATGTGGGTCAATGTATAGGAATTATCAGGTTTCAACTAGCGTTAACCCCGGCTCGTTAAAACATTAAATGAATCCCAGCTGAGTTTAATGAAAATGGAATATCGTATTGGAGCTTCATTATATATTCTCATTATTTACAAAGCCATGTTGTTATAATTAAAATCTTTTTAACTTTACCTCTAAATCAAGTTTCTTAAATAATATGTCCGTTATAATATGTTTTTATTATCCGGCAGTTCGGACTGCTAAATAAATTTCTTTCTTGATCTTAAGCGTATGTATTTTGGTCTTCTACTTTTGTTTCGACTTTTATGTTTTACTGCCAGTATATTTTAAAAACTATTACTGTGTTTAAATGCGTATCCCGCTGATTTTTTAAACTTTTAGACATCAACGAGGTAAAGTGCTTTGGAGTGTATGGCTGTTTTCCGATTAATGGACCATGGAACACGGTAACCCGATCCATCAACGTTCACCCGCAAAAACCTTCGGAGATAGAGCCGCATTTCACGGTGCACACGAGAAAAGCCCTCGATCAGCCTAAGTATCTCGACCTTAACGACCCCGAAAGCATCCATAGCATGGAAATAGATTCAAAGGGCAAAATTTTTCTGCTGGTCCATGGATACTTAGAGTCCGGTGAGATTCCCTGGATGTGGGATATGGCAAAGGCCCTGCTTTCCCACGAACCCGAGGGTCGTGCAGCCGTGGTCCTTATCGACTGGGGAGGCGGTGCCACTCCCCCGTATGTCCAGGCGGTGGCCAATATCCGACTTGTGGGTGCCATTACCGCCCACGTAGTGCACATGCTGTACGAGGAGCTGCGACTTCCGAATCTGGACAAGGTGCACATAATCGGACACTCACTGGGTGCTCACCTATCCGGTTATGCAGGGTATCATCTACAGCATGACTTCGGCTTGAAGCCGGCCAGAATTACTGGCCTAGATCCAGCGGCTCCTCTATTCACGGACACCGATCCCATTGTTCGGTTGGATAAGACGGATGCCCACTTTGTGGATATTGTGCACACGGATGCCAATCCTTTAATGAAGGGTGGATTAGGCATCAATATGCGACTGGGTCATGTGGACTTCTTTCCGAATGGCGGATTCGATAATCCCGGCTGCAACAAGAAGTTTCAGGATGTGGTTAAGAAGAAGACGCTGTTTTTGACCATGCAGGAGTTCCTCGGCTGCAATCACATTCGCAGTCAGCAGTATTTTACGGAAAGCATCGGTTCGCAGTGCCCTTTCCTGGGAATAACTTGTGATTCCTTCGAGGTGAGTTGAAGAACAGAAGTATGCCTTTAGTTAGATGATCGTGTTCTTTTCGAGAGCTTTGAGGTATTAACATACTCGGAAAGCCTTATTTTTCTTTTTTTCTTTGCTAATGACTACTGTTGTTTTTATTTCTCAGAGCTTTAAAGACACCAAGTGCACCAGCTGCGATGAGCCTGGCCACACTTGCCTGCGAATGGGTTATCACAGCCAAGAGGACTATCAAGAGCAAATGGATCTCGGACAGCTTCAGCTGGGTGATTCACTAGGAGACTTTTACCTGTGGACTGGTGATAGCAAGCCATTCTGCCGACTACACTACAGGATAACAGTCCGAATCTCCGGGCATGACGAAAGTACACTTCACGGAGGCGAGGTAGGAATCCTCTCTATTCAACTGCACGATACCCTCCAAAAAAGTAATGACGGAAAAAAAGAGCGAGCCGTTACGGATATGATGAAATTCTCACCAAAGGCCATGTACTTTGAGCCCGGCTATGAATACAAGGCTTTGGTAGCCGGTCAAAATCTCTTGGAGCCGGAATATGTCACTGTAAACTGGGAGTATCCCGCAAACATACTAAATCCACTTACGTGGCGCATTCTTTCCGCGCCGCGTATTTACATTGAGTATATTCTCATCGAAGCAATGGAGTCTAGTGAGCTTTATCTAAAAGTTTGCCCACAGCACGAAGGGGCCATTCTCACTGGAGCCGAAAACATCCTCCGCTCCAAATACTGCAGGGATTAAGGAATATACAACTAGTTAAATAATTATGCAATTGGTTCAATCTTTTAATAACTTATTGATCAACTAGACAAAAATGTCTATATTTAATTTAATTTCAACGCTAAATAAGCCTAACTTTTTAATACTTACTTTTTTAGTCTTTTAATATCTGTTTAATATCTGCTTAATATATAATATACTTTTAGGAAATTGGTTGTCAAATTTCGGATGTCGAAAAACAAAACAAAAAGTGCAGGGTATGTACACCCTCTTAGTTCTGAACACAACTAAAATGAACGAAAGGTGTGTGTCTGGGCTATGAAAGCATTTAAAATTCCCTATTTCTTTATAGCAAGTGACCTAAAGAAAAAACTATATTTTGAAACGTACTCCTAGTTATGTACATAACCAAAAAAGGGGCGGTGTTTGTCTGTACTATGAGAACACTTCATAACCCCTGATTTTATTTTATAGCAACTGGATTAAAAACACTTTGTATTTTTAATAGTATTCTAATAGTTCATAACGACGAATTCATTCTGAACTGCTTAAGTTTTTTTTTTTTAGATTGAGTAAGTGTAGCAATATTGCATGCTGATTCCAAATATAAATAAAGCAGAAAAAAATGCACAAAATATTATTTTTTCTGAGTTAATAACTGCTCACTTGTTATACTTTTATCATTTTCTACAGTTTTTGAGGAAAAATTATGTAATTCACATGAAGTCAACAGTCGCGGCAAAAACTATTAATCGCAAACATGTGTAATCAAATATAAGAAAGATATTGTTGGTAATAGCTGCCGTATCGATTTAGCCTATCAACTGCTCTGCTTTTGATTTGTATAAAGTTTCTTCGCGTTGAATTACTAATTTCACATTTTAACTGTGGGCCGTATTACCGCTTGCCATAAAATAACAAAGTTGGTGGTATTGGTTTTTCAAAAAACGTATTTTACAAAATCTTTTTTAGCTTTGCTTTTTTTTGTGTGTTGAGGATTTTGGTGCCAGTGTCTACCCTACAAATAAACCTGGCCTACAAATGAGTTGACAGAGAAGAAATAACAGAAAGGAACAAAAAATGCGAGGCAGATGATGATCATGTTGACAAGGTTTCACTGGAGTTTATTTCATTCTATTCTGGGAATTTAAGTTGCTTGAAAACCTTTTTATGTTTTGACTTTCGATGCTCAACGTGTCACCCCTCCCTATAATGTGTGTTAACTTATTACCATAATATCATGATATATATTCATTAATATTAATAATTAGTTTCGGTTAAAATTCAATCCAGAAATTAAATCCAAATTATCTTTCCCTTTGAGCTTAAAAATCTAGCTGTAATTCTTAGCATTGCTTTCTAATTTTCATACTCTTTTCCCAGATTTGTGGTGGAAGGGATATTTTCGTATGATTATCTTCACATTTTCCCCTGACTTGTGGCATAAATCAGGCGACTGCGCCGGCTGAGGGACATCAAATGGGGCTCGGGCTCGAATTAAAATGTCATAATTTAAGGGGGAAACATGAGCGACAATACGTCAACATCCCCTTTAGACTTTTAAGGTTTTTCACCTTTCTCATTGACTATATAAATCCACCCACCTACTATGTCATTTCGCTGTTTAATTAGTCGGTAGCCCGGGCGTCGCAAACAAATCACATAATTATGATTGAGCGCAGGCCGTACCAACTCTTTTTACCCTAGAAGAAAAAAAGGGGAGAATCTTCCTGAATTTCCCCCTCTGTGGCACATTTTTCGGTTTCCTTTATGGGCCCGTCAGAGACGCGTGCATAAATATAAATCAGAGTTGGCTCACAGCTGTCGTAATTGAATGCAAATGTCCATCCAAAAATACGATGTCTCTTAAGTGTTCCCCCATCTGATATATATTATATATTTTCTTTATTGAATGGGAGGCGACAATCTGCTCTAAATTATCACGTGTAGGTGCCGCCGTCTGTTTTTTTTCAGCTTTCCCCGCTTTTCTTGCGCTCCATTGTCTTTCCTGGCGATGCGTGAAAACTAATTTCCCACTATCGCTTGGTTTTTGGCTTTTCATCCAGCAGACATTTTGCACCGCGTGTTCATAACGATGAGCTTATAAACTTGTAAAGACACACAGTACAAATTTAATTCTGTCCTTCAACAATTTTGCAAAATCAGTTTTGAACTGAGAAGTATATATGTATGTCAAATGACGGTTGTCGTTCATGATGGCGGAGCGCGTTTCGAAGGTTATACCGGCGACGATTGCAGAACACACACTGCTCCTGAACTGTCGTTCGTCGCCCTTTTATACCTATTCCTTCGAACCACACTCGGCGACAGCGACACTACGCTGTCGCCCCGCTAACCGTACTTCTTTAAGCGACAATATTATTTTTAAGATGAAATTGGTTATTCTAGTGAACTGCCCAATAATGAGGATTCGTACACTGACACACACACAGACTCTCAACTACACAGTCTTAATATGCCGACACGGCCATCCTGACCCTAACACGACCTCGTGTAAAACAAATAACACCATTTGAATTTCTCTTTTCTCTTTTTGTTTATTACAGACTGCTTATTAAATAGTTTCACAACAAAATCCAATTTTCTTATCTTAATTCATAAAAAATTATCAGGTTAACAATTTCACAAAACAATATTGGGTTCCATAACCATCATTAATTTTATTTAATCTTTTTCATTAGCCATTCTTATAGACGCATAATCAAATGCCCCACACGCCATGATCAAAACATTAATATGTTCTGCACTTGTGCTTGCATTATATTTTATGCTCTCAGTACTCTGGCATCTTCGTTAGCCAGCAGTACAACTTCGTCACCCTTCTTGGTGGACTTCACTTTCTTCTTCAACACTCTCAATACTCTCAGTATTTGCATTTTCGCTCTCTTCACCTTCTGCAACGTCTATATTACTTTCAACCAAATTATTATAGTCATCGCACACATTTAGCTCCTCGGGCACTTGCCCCTCTGGCAACTTTCGTAAATCCTCATGCGCATATTTATATTCTCTTTTATTGGTTAAGGACTTTAAAATGTACCTGTCACCTTCTAAAACTTTTACTATTTCAAAAGGCCCCTTGAATTTCGGACTTAGCTTGGTCTGGTGTCTTTCTTCGCTTTTAAGTAATACAAAATCTCCAACTTTATGCTTTGTTACTTTTGCCCTATTTTTATCAAACCGTTTTTTATCATAAGCTGCACTGGCTAATACATTCTCTGCAGCTTGCGCTCTTACTTTTGGCAGATCAACAAAATTTTCTATGTCACTAGGTGGAAGTAACCCTAATGGACGTGCTACCTTTCCCAATAACATTTCTAAAGGACTTGCTCTCGTGGTGCGATTGGTTGTACAATTGATTGCCAACTGCACCTCTCCTAACACATCCTGCCAAGACTGTGTTCCGGTTTCAACCGCCGTTAACATATTCTTCAATGTGCTCATGGTTCGCTCAACTTGACCATTAGCGCGACTTGCACCAGTGGCTATTAAATGCAAGTTTATTTTTTGTTCTGAACAAAATTGACTGAACTTCGCGCCTGTGAAACACCTTCCCTGGTCAGCTATTATTCGGTTTGGTACTCCAAACAATGAAACAGCAGATTGAACGGCTTTTATGCAACTCTCACTGTCTAATTTAAAACTATGACTAAGATAGACATATTTGGTAAACGCGTCTACCTGAACAATAACGTACTCTTTCTGGTCACTCTTGCCACTTAATTTTCCTGTTATATCGATGTGGATAGTGTGCCAAGGAATAGTGACTTTTGGTATTGGATGCAACTCAGCCTGTATTTTCCCTGAAGCGGATTTTGACATTTTGCAAGTGATGCAGTTGTCGACAAATTTTTTTACGTATTTTGCCATATTGTCAAACCAGTAGAAATCGTAAGTTTTATCTAATGTTTTCTCAAAACCTAAATGCATTATTGACTCGTGAACTTGATTTATAACAGACCATCTGAAAGCTCGTGGCACCACTGGTAAACAACGTGTTCTGCCATTTCTCTGAATTTTTCGATGAAGAACTTCTGCCCTTAGTTCATAGGTTTTCGCAATATCTTCAGGCAGAGAAAAGTTTTTAAAACGTTTAACAATTTCGATTATGTCAGAATCTCGACGTTGTTCAGCAATAAGCCAGTTGCTTGAAATTTCAGCTAAATTTACTCTTTTCTCTTCGACTATTTTTGCGGTCGAAGTAGACTTTGGTGAAAGGGGATTTCTCGATAAAAAGTCAACATGAGCCATTCTTTTCCCTTCTCTATATTGAATATCGAATGTGAATGACTGCAAATAAGCCCACCAACGCTGTGCTCTGGGGGTTAAATCTTGTTTATTTCTCGACGCCTTTAGCGAGTTGCAGTCAGTATAAACGACAAAGTTCCTGCCCAACAAATAATGTCGAAAATGTTTAATAGAGTTTACAACAGCTAAGGTTTCCAACTCATACGAGTGATATCTTGATTCTGCCGGTGAAGTAGTTTTGCTATAGTATTCTATTACCTGGGGTTTGTTATTAATTTAATGTAATAAAATTGCACCGTAGCCACTGCAACTTGCGTCTGTATGCAATTCGATTGGATAAACAGGGTCAAAAATAGCAAGGACTGGTTTGTCGGTAAGAGTGGCAATGACCTGTTTCCGTATCTGTTCATGCTCTGTTTTCCAAACAAATTTGTTTTTGTCTGCAGTTAAGAAATATAACGGTTTCATTAATTGTGAAAATCCCTTAATAAACTGTCGGAAATAGGATGCTAGCCCAATGAATTGTCTAAGTGAAGTGACTGATTGTGGAGGCGGAAGAGCAGTCAACGCTACAACTTTCTGTGGGTTTGGACGAATTTCGCCCGCACTGATATTGTAACCCAAATATTGAACCGATGTTTTCAGGAAAGAACACTTTGTAAGATTGAATGAAAACCCAGCCTTTGTTAAAACATCTAGAACGATCTGTAATCTTTCCAGCGCCTCGCTTTTTGTTGTGGCAACTATCATGATGTCATCCATATAAACGATAACAAAGGAATTTGCTAGATCCCCCAGCGCTTGCATTACTACTCTTTGAAAAACCGAAGGTGCATTCTTGAGCCCGAATGGCATAGATAGAAACTCGTATTGACCGTCCGGAGTCACAAACGCCGTGTACTCAATAGAATCTGAATGTAATGGAATTTGGTAATATCCACTGGCCATATCTAGACATGTAAAGTAATTAACTCCTCCAAGCCTATTAATTTGATCCTGGATAAGTGGTAAAGGATATTTATCAGCGACTGTGTTTGAATTCAGCTCTCTAAAATCAACACAAAGTCTGTCGGAACCATTTTTCTTCTTAACCAATAATATAGGGCTTGCATAAGGTGAGCAGCTTGGCCTAATTATATTGCATTTTAGCAGTTCATTAATCTTTTCCCGAACTAAATCTCGCTCGCATGGACTTAAACGATATGGCCTTCTTTGTACGGTTTTTGTTGGATCAATCAACCTAATTTTCATTTCGCCAACTCCGACTTTAGTGTTTGGGATACCAGTTATAAATGAATTTGAGTACTTTGCCAACAATGAATGTAGTTTTATTTTATCTTGTCCCTCAAGCTCAGTATTAATATCGGCTGGCTCATTGCCGGTACATAAATTAACTACTTTGGTCCTTGAAATTTTAAATTGGCTTGATGAAATAACAATATCAAGACCCTGATTTAATATTTCACGGCCAATTACAATGTCATTTTGCATGTCATCATCGCCTATTACGTGAAACAAAATTTCAATAAAATTATCGTCAATTTTTACGTTACTTAATATTTGTACAGTACTACATATTCCATTACTACCGATACCTTTTAGCATAACAATATTATTTATTTTTTTTTCCAGAAAATTTGGTACTTAGCTTTTCTTTCATCAGCGAGCATTCCGATCCAGAGTCGAAGGTGATTTCAAAAATTTGTCCTCTATGGTTCAGGCAACCCTTAGGTACTGCAACGCTGCACTGCTCCACTCGCTTTTCCCGGTTGAATCCCTTGTTCTTATCAACTTCCTTCTTGGTACATTGGGTAGATATGTGACCCAATTCGCCGCACGTGTAGCAAGTTACATTTGATTTTTCACGGCGGTATCCATCGAGTTTGCCAGGTCGTGATTTATCAGTCGCAAATTGATTCTGTTGTTTCCTGAATCTGCAGTCAACCATTTTATGGCCAGCCTTTCCACAAAAATGGCACTCCACCTGCGACTGCATTCTTGTTCTCTTCTTATCCGGACCCGTCGAATAATCGTCCTCCACGTTGTTGCGCTTCTTAAAAGCGTAAGCCTGTAGCTGCTGCTGCAGCTCGTTACGAGTCGTCACATTCGTTGTAAACAGCCATCGCAACAAATTATTATCAATTTGAGCCATGTGAGCTAAGGCTACTGATACCGCAATCTCCTCCAAATTCTTTGCCTTCCACTTAGAGAGCAATAGGGTGACAATGCGACTGCCGTACTCAGCGAAACTCTCTCCAGTTTTGGGTCGTCCGTTCAAAATGTTCATCAGTATGGCAGAAGTTGTCTCGATGCCTACGAAACGTTGGATGAAGAGTTCCTTAAACTGCGGCCATGTGATGCCAGCGAAGCATATTTGGGACAGCCATTGCGATGCATTGCCTTCTAATGCTTTGCTTAACGCGATCACAAGCGCACTGCCTTCGAGAGCATTATCCGCAAAAATTAAGTCCACTGTAGTACACCAAGCTGATGCATCTGCTCCAGCAGTGTCAGGGCAAAACTTGGGTAGAGTGACGTGGAGTGCTCTCCCATCCATTGCCGGTGCTCTTGGTGCCTGCATGGATTTTATTATTTCCATCAAATTGCGATTTTGCTCTTCTAAGGCTGCCCTATATGTGCTAGAGCTGTCCTCTTTTGGCGGAGCCGATCCCACTTCTGATGTCAAATGACGGTTGTCGTTCATGATGGCGGAGCGCGTTTCGAAGGTTATACCGGCGACGATTGCAGAACACACACTGCTCCTGAACTGTCGTTCGTCGCCCTTTTATACCTATTCCTTCGAACCACACTCGGCGACAGCGACACTACGCTGTCGCCCCGCTAACCGTACTTCTTTAAGCGACAATATTATTTTTAAGATGAAATTGGTTATTCTAGTGAACTGCCCAATAATGAGGATTCGTACACTGACACACACACAGACTCTCAACTACACAGTCTTAATATGCCGACATGTACATAAAAGGAAAACCTCAGTTTATTTAATGACGAATCCATTTGAAAAGGGCCGTAGTTCTATAATAAATTTATTTGCATTCAGCATTGCCTCTGGAAGACTTTTGTAAATAACAGTCAGCGACTAATCAAAGAAAATCAAATCACAACTAGCTCTCCATCTTTCTTTATTAAGTTCTAGCTCTGTCTTGAATTTATCGGTAAAATAGTTTATTTGAAACACAAAAAAGTTAAGCTTTTTCATATTATATTTATTATTATATTATTATTTATGTTTTTTATGGCACATATTATCCGTTTGTCTGGAACTGGTATTTTTATTGTGCGGACTCTGTTATGTGATTAGGCAGGTGCTGCGTCATGGATAATGGTACTCAACTGGTCCCCCACCTCAGAGGTTTTGAAATATCATTTGTCAGCCGTGAAATGGGAATCGTGCCTTATCAACGCGGGGCTACTGCCAGAAGGTCCTGGTGCAGTCTCCTTCTGTTTTTTGAAACCCATTTCACCCACCAAGAAAACAGACACGTGTCCTTTCGTTAGCGTACAAATGCGCATCCTCGATGCAGATTCGGTCACCTGATGATGATTTTCCCATGACCGTGCCACCCACTCTGGAGTTGGCACAGGGGTTACTGGTGGTGATGGACGGCCGGGTAACATGATCTCTGCGTGCTTCGACATAATTTGTTATTTCGGGCAGCGTTTTATATTTTTGAAGCAACTACTTCTTTGTACGGATTATTTTCGATGCGGTATTCCCCTATAATAACTCCTTTTGTCGAACGTCAAAGAAAATATCGATTACGTTCTATACAAGTTATTGTTTCGGCCGTAAACAAAGACAATAAAATTCAAGAAAAGAACTTACTTTCGGCGAGCCGAAACTTTTATACTCTTGCAGTCATCACAAATCTATAGTAACACGATATATTCCCATCGTTTCCGATCCTTACAGCGTCAATTACCATATGGTAATTTCCTAGTCTTGCGAATTTATGGCAGCTATATAATACATTAGTCCAATCTTTTAAGCAATATAATATTTAATGGATTATTAAATGTCAAACACAGTGCATAAAAGCTTAACCACATCGAGACTTTGACAAGTTTTCTATTAATTTTCCATAACTGTTACTATGAGAGTTGTCCGATTTTTATGAATCTAATTCGATGTTCTAGAGTCGTTAGAATGCTCTAAATTTCGTGCCCAAATGATTCAAAACAACGACGGTATAATTATGTTCTTATGAAAACTATATGATATAGTGGTAAGAAAACTCTTTTTCCAAAAGTCATGCTTGTGTGATAAAGTACAACAATGTTATAGTTTTGTTCCATTAACTGTATGTCGATCTTTCCTATGGCAGCTATAAGATAAAGTAGTCAGATTTTTTAAAAATTTCATTTTATGGCAGCTCTATGATATAATCTTCGGAATTTTATAAAATCTAATTCGAAATTCAAGAGTCTTAAAAAAGCATCATCATCAAATTATCCTGTATGATAAAAAACAACTCCGTTATAAATTGTTTCCAGCTTAACCAATAGCTTTTAAGTCCCGTCACTCGCGCAAATAAAACCATAAATAAGGGTAATAAAAGTGATGCTCAGTCGTCGAGGCAGCTGCATTTTTCCTGCTTCGGAACCAGAATTCAGCTTCAGAAACGCCGATTTCGAATAAATACCTGACTCTGCCAATAATCATAACATTATCTTAATCGCTAAACTCTTGAGATCAGCGAACGAAGATTCGGAAGTTTTGAAATCTTGTGGCAAAAGTTATAAGATTTGATCCTTTTTAGGAAGTTTTACATGAATAACAGGTACTTAGTCAGGGGTTTTAAGTTCTTTTATGTTACTACAAATAGTATTGTGCAAAATCTGTGAATTTATTGTATCCGTTCAATTTTAAACAATTTAAAAATGTAAACAAAATCACTATTGTAACCTACTTTCAAAAATTAGTATTTCAAATGTACTAAGTTATGCATTTTTAAATTTAGTTCATTTTGTTTTTACGGAGGAAATTTATCATTTTGTTAGCCTTTAAGGAAGTTGCGGGTAAGCCTGCAATTGTAAGGCATCAGCATAGAAAGACATCGGCATGTTTACAAATATGTGTATAAATAGCAAATAAGGAAAGGTTTGGAGTGAATGAAATATGAAAACTCTCTTTTTTTCGAACAAATATTTTTGTTTTATTTCGCTTTGATCTAAAATCTGTAAAGCAAACGTGCCAGATGAGGGTCGGTGTAAAAGGAGCCGCCTTGCCAAATGCTCTTTTTTATTCTATACGGGACACGGAACCTGGCAAATCCATTGTTTGACCGGCAAACAAAAGATGCGTCGTGAGCGTCAAGGGGCAAGTTATTAAAAGCAATATCCGAGGTCTAGCCGGAACGCCTGGATGGGCAGATTTGTATCTCGGATTAGGTCGAATAGAAAGGGAAGTGGACTTATCTTGCATCTCCGCATTAACACTTTCGCACACGCACACCTTTTTGGCTCTCTGGTAGGCAGCACAGGCGAACTGTCAGAGCACAAAATGGCCGCTAAAGTGATATAAATATGTATGTATGTTTATATATACGTAGTTCCCCCATATTTTTATGGCTCCATACATACAAAAAAGTTCTCTAAAACAAAATTCAAGTTTTTCATTTCGTTCACGTTTATGTTTAATACTTAGTCTTTGTGGGGAAGACAACGAAAATGCCACCCTTGTAAATAACCAAACGCACGAATAGGTTTAAATTATTTGAGTATTTATTTGGAGCTGCAACTCTTCCTTTTAATTTTTGATTATGTGTAACAAAGTAGGCGATGTAAGCGAGATAAGTGTATGTTTGATCTGAGGCGAAGCCAGCCGAAAGCGCGGCTTCTTTATACCGTCGCTTTGACGATTATAGATAATAACATAGATAAACAAAGAGAGGCTTGAAGAGCGGCTCCTAACTCCCTGCACCTATGTGCACCAAATTAGGTGCTGGCGGTCTGCTCCGAACACTTAGAATTACATAAATTTGAATTCATAGTCAATTCAATTAAATTATGGACCAACGTCAAGTCCATACAATGTTTTGTGCAATACTGCACATGTTATGTTTAAAATTACATTTGAAAATATTCAAATTAATTGAAACTGCATGAAATCCCCCACCCATGCAACGCATTTATCACCATTTGCCCTTCTTACAAGTTCTCAAGGCGTTGGCATTTGGGAGAAGCTCGCGAATCAATCTGTCGGCGCAGAATCGGTTCATTTGGAAGAGCATGCGAGTCTGGGCGGCCAACATATCAGGAGACACCAGCATATCTTCTAAGTCATATTTTTCTGTGCCACTATCTTTATCCGTACTTTTGGTTGTGACTCTTGTTTTAACGACACTTTGCCTGGCGGCCAACTTGAAAGCCAGCGGCGGTGGCCAATTATATGAAACTCGGGAGCGGTTTTCGTTCGGCCAGGGCAGAACAAAGGAACAATTCAATTGTGAAATACTATGACAGGCGCAGAGCGATGCAACAATGGGCACGAGTGGAGCTCGGTAACCGTGGTGTACGAGTTTGTTTATTTTGATTTAGCTTTTAGCCTCTTCTAAGCTGAGGTCTGCAGATATGGAAACTGCACTGGCGAATCGCAGACTGAATGATGCCTTGTTTCTGCCAAAAGCAATGCTCTCCGAGCAATGTGGAGATCCAAACCGATACCAAACTTCCCCTCTGGTGTTGTAAATCTCGCAAATATTTACAGCTTTGTAAGATGAAAAGCGCTAAAAAAGGCAGTAGTTTGGCTGCTAGAGAGTATCTCAGTGTCTAACGAGTCCGCCATTACAGTGGCATGAATCGGGCTCAGTACATAGTTAAGCCCGCAGATATAATACAAGGCTGACGCATGACGGGCCTCTCTGCCTCGTGCCACGCACTTCGACTCTTGGAAAACTGACGAGATACTCGCCCCTTGTCTGGCGTATCTGCAAGGTACACTGGGAGATGGTGTCTGAGTTTTTTTAGTAAAAAAAGGGAGATAATAACAAAATATGTACTAGTAATATTTAAAGAGAACTTGCACAAACGTACAATAGAAATTGGTTTAACTAATTGTTTTTTTTTTTTTTTGGCGATTTTTAAAAGTAATTTTGTCAAGCTATTTATGTTCACCGTTTCTAGTAATACCTTTATCCAAACGTTATGTATATCTGAAAACAAATCTAACCGCAAACAGCATAGAACATATTTTTCTACGTGTAAAAAGCAATCACACATCTTCTAAAATGTAACTCTCTCCCTCTCTTAGTTGTATTTGTATGGGGTTATCTATGGGGTTGACTGGCTGTGTATCTGTGAGAGCGCAGCGATATTATTGGCTCGCTGAGGCTCCGCCTATTTCTGAGGCCGTTACGCTTCGGTGCCCCCTTTGAAGTCGCTCCCTTTTAATGTGTGTATCTGTGTGTAAATTTAATTTGTTAAATAAATTTTGGCCTGCCATTGCGAACAAGTTGTGTGCAATAATTTATCTGAAATGTGCACTCACTTAGCAAAGGACAGCCTGCAAAGAGCAACCCTCGTCCATGCTCGCCAGCCGATATCTTTATATCTCGCGGATACACAAACACACACACATTTACACTCATAAATATGTCGCGTGGATTAATGTGCCGGTTGGCAATTTCTGGCAGCCAACTGCTCACAGTTTTATACAAACAACTTCCTCTGCTTCTCCGTAAG